ATAATAATAATAATAATAATAATAATAATAATTCAGTTTAATTGTTGTTTAATATACATTCAAATAATAATAATAATAATAATACTAACATTTATACTATATTTAAAAACCGTTTGGGGAGAACATCCCTGCAGACAGCATTAGCAGCTGCTGCGCATCTAGCAGAGGGACAATTTTTGCATGAGGAGCAAACATTGAACAATGCAAAGTCTCTGATATACCGAACAGGAACTCGGAGACCAATTTCAAGAACAGAAGGGCAGAATTTCGAGCCAAAATAAACTTGAATAAGAAAGAGAGCATCGTGGCGATGTCTCCTAGTAAGTAAAGTATGCAATTTTAACTCCTCAAGAACAAGAGACTAACTAATGAACTTGAGGATAGAAACGATTAAAACAAAGGGCCGCAAACCTCTGCTGGATGCGTTCCAGCTTGTTGGCATCAGTTGACGTAATCGAATAATAATAATAATACTTTGCTTTTTAGGTGAATCAAGTTTACTGCCCTGAGAAACAATGGCTAATGTTTCTTCAGAAATTCGTCGCGTGCTGCTCACTGTGCTGGAGTGTCAGCTTTGTATGGAGTACATGCTGCCACCCATCTATATATGTGTGAAAGGTCATAACATCTGTAAGAGCTGCAGATCCGAAATCGAAGTGTGTCCAACCTGCATACACAAGTTCGCACCTATGAGATGTGTGTCCCTGGAAAAGCTCTCCTTACAAGTGGATTTTCCGTGCACAAACCGGGATTCCGGATGTAAAAAGACTATGCGTGGAAACAGTCTAACTGAACACCAGTCTGCGTGTACCTACGGGACCTACAGTTGCCCATTTGATTGCCCAAGAAAATGTAATCGTTTAACTCTTATTCAACATGTAAAAAACGAACACAAGCAAACAGGAACTGAAACCTTATGTAGTGATTCTTATATCAAGATTCTGAACTATAGTCTTACGAAAACATATTCAGATGTCATTGCTACCAACATTGAAGTATTTATTCGCACTATTACTGTCATTAATGGCATATGGTACTTTCTTGTCCAGTATACAGGACCTTTGAGAAATGTTGGAAGATTCAGTTATACGATTAGTTTTGAGCCACGAGGCTCGCATGTTGAGTCTATTTCGATGACTCATCTTTGTCAAAGTATAAACGATGAAGTTAATGAAATATACAGTGCATGTAAATGTATAATGTTACCAGTTCAAGTTTTAAAGCATTACTTAAATGCTCGACAACTGTCTTACCGTTTCAGGATCGTCAGAATTCGTTGAATGTACGCTCAGTACTTCACGTTCTACATGGACCTATTTCAAGAGACCGCCTCTGTGGTCTAGTGGTCAAAGTTCTTGGCTACAGAATACGAGGTCCGCGTTAGATTCCCGGCGCTACCAGATTTTTTTGAGAAGTAGTGGGTCTGGAACGGGGTCCACTCAGCCTCGTGAGGACAACTGAGGAGCTGTTTGAAAGAAATTTCGGCTCCAGTCTAGAGAACTGAGAATAACGGCTGTGGGGATTCGTTACGCTGACCACGCGACACTCTCTATCCACAGAAGTTGATACTAATTTCGCCGACAAGCGGCGGTCGCTCGGTCGGTATAGTTCGCTTGCGGACTAAAACCACGGAGTTTGTTTGTTTATGTACTTTTTAGAGACGTTTGACGCAGAATACTTAAAAACGAAAAGAATATAAATTTACTGGCATTGTGTTTCTAGATATTTTTATCAGCTTGTGTTTTGGGTGCATGACTGAGCAGAATAAATTTCTATTTTTACACTTTGTGCGCCATTTCACTTTTAGTATCTTAAATTTTAGAGAGCATTTATCAGCCCACAATCAGTTCTGCATAATTTCTCAAATATATTTTCTTGTATTTTCATTGATCTTATTAATAAAATTTATACTTTCATCAAAATGAACGGTAAATTTGTAATAGGTTGTAGTGTAATAAATCACACTTATCTGATCACTGCTCGTTATTTCTGTACTGTTCGCAACCAGATGACAGTGAAAGTCAAACAAGTAACTATTAAATTGAAGAACCCAGCATTTTTTTTAACTGGCTCTGCAGCCCCCGTGGACCTTGGCCTCTTCTTTCAGTTTCATGATTATTTTACAGACGGTAGGACTCCTTGGACGAGTGATAAGCTCGTCGCAAGGCCTGTACCTAAACATATGTCAACACAGACACAGAATAAACACGTACCAAACATCCATGCCATGAGTGGGATTCAGATCCACGATTCCATCGTCCGAAGGAGCGAAGACAGTTCATACCTTAAGGCAGCCGTGTCAAACATGCGGCCCCCATAGCCACAAAGTGCGGCCCCTCAGCTTTCACAGCTAATTGATATTAAAATCAATATTAAAATTTTAGTAGAAATATTTTTTGTAAATACAATTTTCCAACAAACCAGAAGACAAGAAGTCTCACGCAGACATAAACTAGCAGGTTGCAGGAAATTCAATGTTTTGCTATTTGCTATTAGTGCCAGCTTTAGCGGATACAGGATGTCGCGTGGACAGCGCAACGAATCTTCACGGCCGTTAATCTCGGGTTTCTAGACCGGAGTCGCTATTTCCTTGAAATAGTTACTCCATTATCCTCACGAGGCTGAATGGACCCTGTTCCAGACCCACTACTTCTCAGAAAATCTGGTAGCGCCGGGAATCGAACCCGGGATCTCTGGATCTGTAGCCAGGAACTCTGACCACTAGACCACACAGGCGCTAATAAGTAATCCCGGAGAAATTTCTAAATACAAAGAACTAGTTGATTGAAGACTTCTATCTTCTGGGATATAACGCCGTGTAGCCCGTTGAAAGTCAACCGACGTTTCGGGAGGAATATGTTGCATCCATCTTCAAGTTCGGAGAATAAGCCAAACAAGGAACCAGCGTGAAGGAGGTAGCAATCAGCTCCCGAAACGTCGGTTGATTTTGAACGGACTGCACGGCGTTATGTCCCAGAAGTTAGAACTCTTCGTAACCACCGATGTGAGAACCTTAAATAATACAACCAGTTGATTGGTTCAGTAACCACAGAAAACAATTATGACACCGTAGATTTCGGTTGGATTTCATTTAACGTTTACGAGGAACGTACCTGCTCCATCGTCGGGGTCGAAGAATACTCGTAGGAAGAAATAGAGTTGTTGCTTGGCTTATTCATCGACCCTGAAGATGGAAACAATACGTTTCTCCGAAACGTTGGTGAATTTCTACTGGAATAGACAGTGTCACGACCCAGAAGGTAGTATTCCTCATGGTCAACGGCATGGAAATCTCTAATGCAACACAATCTACACGGCAGCAAGCGACTTTCAGAACATAAAAGAAAGCACACGGTCTTTGCTAGGCCAGGCAGATGTATATGGAGCCTTACGTAACGAATAAGTAACGTAAGATTTTTATTATTAGCCCGTTACTAACGGCGAACGCGGAATTTCAATTGACCTAATCCATCCAGCCGCACTATGGCCCTCGGGTCTACTCAGCCTCTAACAGAAATGAGTACCAGGATTCTTTCTGGGTGTAAAGGGCGACCGGCGCGTAAGGCTGACCTCACCGCCATCTGTGAGTCGACTGTCTAGAGAAAATTTGGGATCCTCGACGTCTCACAACCCTATGGGCCTACGTAAGTGACGGATTCCTACTCTACATCACGTGACCACCCTGCGTGTTGTGCAGAGATCGGACCCGTCGACGTGAAGACACCGCAGTCAGAGAGTTCACTTGGGTGGCGACGAAGGGCGCACCGTTTTCACGTGCAGTCTGCTGTATTATTTCAGTGAGTTTATTATTTTTGTATACATGTTTATATATAATATAAGAATATTTTTTACATAAACACTAATTACTTTCATATAATTGCATTTTATATATTTATTTATACGTATATGATCATAGAATTTCTTGGTTCTGACTGTTACGGGGGGCAAGAGTCCAGTTTCTTTGACACACGAAATTATAAAAGGTAAAGTTGTCCCTGTGCCTAACTAGTTAAGCACTACGCCATGCAGACTTACGGGGGAGTGGATGTATAGCTCCACATTTTCTTGACCTCGGCACTAGTTGGAGGTGAGTTGCCAGCTTCAGGGCCCGGCCGCTTTACCCCCGTGAAAGAGCCCCCCCCTACGGTACCCATTGTATAGGAGGTTGGGAGGACCCCAGAGCCGGTCTGGACGGTTTGAGAAGTGAAAATTCTTGACCCTACCGAGACTCGAACTCCTACCCCTCGGTCGTCCAGTCCATAGCCACTCGCTATACCGACTACGCCATGAAATTATACCTAAGATTAATTTGCAATGATGTATTTATGAAAAGGGCATACAATCAAGCGTCATATACACTGGCATGATCCGCCACGGTATATAACACGCGATGTTACAGGAATCCAGACGTGAACTGCATTTACCCTAATCCAAATTGGAATTTTGTCACCTAACACACGGTCCTACATGACTTTCCTTCACCTAATCTAACCCGACATGATATATATAGTGATCGAATCGGACTCACCCGGACCCAATTCGATTTCTCTAGACTCCCCCCAAATTGACAAGATTTGCCGTGACGCAGCATAAACATAAAATATATCCCCGTCAAGTTTGTGTAAAGTTGTCCCTACTAATTAAGCACTACGCCATGAAGGCGTATGGAGGAGTGGATGTATGGATCCACGTTTTCTTGACCTTGGCACTAGATGGAGGTGAGTGGTCAGCTTCATGCCCCTGTCGCTTTACCGCCCCCAGGGGAAAGAGCCCCCATTGGATAGGAGGCTGGGTGGGCACCAGAGCCGGTCTGGACGACGCGGAGAAGACAATATTCTTGACCCTACTGGGACTTGAACTTCGACCCCTCGGTAATCCAGCTCGTAGCCAGTCGCTATACCGACTATGCTATCCTGGCTTCTAAGAACATAAGAGTAACTCAGATAGAAACATTTCACAAATTTCTCAATACAATCTCCACTGAAGTTGGATATAATATCCTCCACAACATACAAATGTCACATTCACTTCTAAAGGTAAAACGGAATAGATTCGGCATCTACTCTGATAGATGAATGGAAGGGCATGTAAACGGAAGAAGATAAGGGGTAAAAACACCATAAATATTGGCATACAGACCGATGTTTTAAAACTGTGTACCATGGTCAAACATTTCTTCATGTCAGACGTACCACTTTTGTGACGTAATTAGTGTTCACCTGTGTATAATATTCATTGTTATTATCAATATGTTTCTTCTTCTTTTTATTCAGCCGAGTCACGTTCTATATATCCTCAGGACAAATGGATACTGCTGCTTCAGACCTTTACGAAGGCCTCATGAGTCAACTGGAGTGTCCAGTCTGTTTGGAGAACATGATGCCGCCTATCTATCTATGTAAAAACGGCCACAACATCTGCAAGAATTGCAGACACGAGATGTCACGCTGTCCAATTTGCAGACATGAATTCACTAACACCAGAAGCCTAGCCATGGAGAAACTTTCAGCTATTCAGCAACGGTCTCCTTGTGTATACCGGATATACGGATGTAAGGCGTTATGCAGGGTCCGTAGAAGTGATCATGAGGACGTGTGCCCCTTTGGGACATACAGTTGTCCTTTTCAGTGCCCAGAGATTTTCACTCGAAAATATCTCATACATCATATCAAAGAGGAGCACAAAAATATGTTTTTGCAATGCAACCACCGTACCACAATTATCAAGCTGGAGGATTATGACATAACGGAAGATTATGATGTAATAATTATGTTTTATGAAGAAGTTTTTCTCTGCACGATGAGAACTATTAATGGTATATGGTATCTTCTGATACAGTATATAGGCCCTGAACAATATGCTAGTAGCTTCAGGTACAAACTTTGTTTAGGTAACATGGACGATGATGCATATATCAAGGTCAGGCAGCGGTGTCGATGTGTGAACGAAGATGTAAATGAAATATACCGCACGTGTAAATGTATACTCTTACCAGCTGAAGTAATATGCCATGCCCTAATTGAAGGAGAGCTGTGTTTCCATTTCAAGATGACTAAATTAGAGCCAGATACTGAACATGGCTACTGATAAGTAAGATTTGAGGCTTTCACGACGGTGACTATGAAGAAAGCAGTCTTCTGGGATTTGGCACCGTGTATATGTGGTGTTAACCGACGTTTCGGAGGAACGTATCTCTTCGCTTGCAGATTTCNATAATAATAATAATAATAATTATTATTATTATTATTATTATTAGGAAATTACATTTCCCTTCTCTCGGACTACACAAACATGACAATTTTTATCTTTTATTTTTTAACTGTTTAACATCCACACTGGGTCGATATTGTAAACATTTTAGAACGTATATCAGGCGCATTTACTTTTACAATTAGGTATCCATATATTTCTGTAGTGTTGTTCGACGTGTTATTGGCATACTATGTAATTTCAATAAATCTCCAAAGTTATTACTTATTTACTCATGGAGCTGAGCCCTTCTTGAGGAGCAGACAATTCTGCAGCTACTCAAGAATTTCTCAGCATTTTATGGAACCCGAAGGTTCATTACCGTGTTCACAAGAGCCCTCCACTGGTCCCTATCCTGAGCCAGATCAATCACATCCATACCATCCTATCCTATCTCTTTAAGATCCATTTTAATATTGTCTACCAAGCTACACATTGGGCTTCACAGTGGTCTCTTTCCTTCTGGCTTTCCCACAAATATCCTATATGCATTCCTTTTCTCCCCCATTCGTGCTACATTCTCTGCCCATCCATCCTGCTCGACTTGATCATTCTAATTATACTTGGAGAAGAGTACAAGTTATGAAGCTCCTCATTGTGCAGTTTTCCCCAACCTCCTGTCACTTCATCTCTCTTTGGTCCAAATATTCTCCTCAACACCATGTTCTCAAACACCCTCAGTCTATGTTCCTCCCTTAATGTCAGAGACCGAGCTTCACACCCATACAGAACCACAGGAAAAATTATAATTTCGTATATTCTAGTTTTTAGAGGATGCCTCACTTGAATATGATTTGATCTCATGAGCATTTAATCTCTGGTCATGCCTTAAATGGCATTCTACTGTTGATTTATGCACATGAGGTACTAATTATGGTGTATTAACAGCATAAACTGAAGTTTACGCAAACAGAACATAGCTTTCATTAGTTCTGCTATGAAATACTTGATAACTACTGGCTGTTGGAACATAATTATGCCGGACGTGCCTTGTAAGGTACAGGCAGGTACCGTTTCTTACTATGTAATAACATATCTGGTATTTTTACTGTTCATGAACATAAAAATTTNAAGTCCAGAAACCCAATATATCAGTGTGTTATACACCATCGTCAGAATCCTACAGTAACTACTTGTAATACAAATTTTGTCTAATAAAAAGGAACAAAAAATAAACTTGACAAGTCATTTCAAATACTGACATTACTAGAATCATCAAATGATCTACTAGTAAAACAGTAATGTGAAGAGAAATATGTTCTTGCTCGAAAGGGTATGATGTGTCCAGTATTACAAAGGCTAATATTTCCAACCCTGTGCACTAAGCGGCACCACGTGACTGTTATGCGCCTATGCTTGTGGTTGACGTGAAACGACTGCAGTCATTCAGATCGCTCGATGGGGCATGAACTGTGACTTGCTTCGTTGTTCACTTTAGCAGCATTGTTTCGGTAAGTTTAAATAATTTTTATACAGATATATTATATATGTACTCCTATACTATATGATTATTTTATATCCATAATTTCCACATATATTTCCAACCGGTTCATCTTGTAGTCACGTTCTGGACTTGTCTTCGGGAGATGCTCGGTTCTGAGGTTCTTCCACGGGTTTCTTTCAGCCCCTTCGGATAAATACCGGAAAATTACCCTCATCACACCATGATTGTTTACTTTCAAATACTTTCTATTTCATACAAATACGAGTATTATGTTTCTGGACATTATCCATGGTCTTGTCTTTATCTAAAAACAGTCTTGTTTATTTTCCAAAACACGTTTCGGAGACTGGATTCTGTCTCCGTCTTCAGGTAAAACCTACTCAGTTGGGCCCAATCGATAGAGCTAGTCCCTATCTCCTGAAGACGGAGACAGAGTCCAGTCTCCGAAACGTGTTTTGAAAAATAAACAAGACTGTTTTTAGATAAATACAAGACGGTGAATAATGTCCAGAAACATAATATCTGTACTAATGTACCACTGTCACAAACTTTTAGACCTTTCCAATTCATCGATCATTATAACACTGAAAGCTAATGTCGTGTGAAGTACTGAAGACATTTACTGCTCTGACTGTTGTAGCAGAGAGCAGTCATCTGTCTTTGAAACAACGTTATATCTCAGATGATATAACAGTTATAAACATCTTATGATAAAGGCATCATAAGCATCACCACTGGAATGATTCTTCATGATAACACAGGATTTAAAATAAATCTAGTGACTTGGCGTCAATCGCATTTATTTGTATCCAGTTTAATCTAAGTCGATATTTCGTCACCTGGCATATAGGCCTATCTAACTTCTGTCCACCTAATCCAACCCTTTAGACCCCCCCCATGGCCCAGTCAGACCCATCATCACCTAATTCGGTTTTTCTTTGCGCTTTATAACTTTTGTATGATTTCTCCTGATTCAATACAAAGAAGTATCGTGAGCTAAGTAGTTCTTTTAAGTTTGTTGGGGTGGAGTGAGACTGAGTCCACTCGGTACGTCGGCCACTAACTGGCCTATTGTACCAGCCCCGGATGGTTGATGATGAGTTTGGAGCAGTCGGGTCGAATGAGAATTGGCAGGGGAAACCGAAGTACTCGGAGAAAACCTGCCCCAGCGCCACCTTGTTCGCTTCAAATCCCACATGACTTGACCTGGGATTTAACCGGGTCCGCCGCCGTGGGAAGCCAGCGACTAACAGCCTGAGCTATGCCACGGTCAGCGTGAACTGACTAAATATTGCTTAATTCAAAATATCCTGCTTAATAATGAATGTACTAAGAAATATTTGAAAGGTTTAGGCATCAATTTGCCGTTAATTGTGGGCAGATGGAATAAAGGGTAAGCAGAAGCAGAACTTCGGAGTGACGCAAAAACATACACATGTACGGTGTCTAGAACACGAGTTCATCTATAGGTTTGCCTAGCTGGAGTATTGTGTACCCTCAAAGATGTTTAGGTATAGAAAATCTAGGAATACTTTACGTTACTCGACTCTTCACTTCACTCTATGCTGCTGAACACTTTCTTATAACAACGCACGGACCACGCAGAAAACACGGCCTCTATTGTTAAGGAGATGTGTTTACTGAACCATTGCCTAGCAATAGATATACACGTCACACTATCTTCTGGTATTTAACGCCATGTAGCCGTTGAAAGTATATTTTCAACTGATTACACAGCGTTACATCCCAGAAGAGAGAACTCTTCAATATATTAATATTATTTTCCTTATGTTTTAGGTAAATAAAAAACTATTATCTTCAGAAAGAATGTCCACTGAACCTTCATGCCTTCGTCAACTTCTCCTGAAGGAGTTCGAGTGTCCGAAATGTTTGGAGTACATGCTGCCACCTATCTTCATCTGTAAGAACGGCCACAGTATTTGCGAGAAGTGCAAACTTGAAACACCGCACTGTCCAACTTGCACGGTACCTTTTACAAACATAAGATCCGTGTCTCTGGAGAAACTTTCTACATACATGGAATTTCCATGCATCTATCGACGATCCGGATGTAATGAATCTGTGCGATCAGAAAACATAAATGAACACCAGTCTATGTGTCCCTATGGGACATACATTTGCCCACTTCAATGCCCAGGAAGGTTTAATACAGACCATCTTTTAGAACATGTGCAGCAACAGCACAGTATTGCATTAAATTATTATGGCGATGGGTCACATTATAATCATGTGATGAATTATGACTTGAAGAAAAACTATGTTAATTTAATAACAGCCAAAAGTGATTATTTTGTTTCCACAATATCTGTTACTAATAACATATGGGAGTTCTTCCTTATGTACATAGGCCCAGAGAGCAGAGCGGGACGATTCTGTTACACGCTGCAATTTGATACAGGGAACGTCCATTTAGCGTCCATCAAGATCACTCTTCGGTGTACAAGCATAAACAAGGGTTTCAATGAAATACGCCAGGCATGCAAGTGCATTATATTACCAGTTGATGTAATAAAGAGTTTAATGAAAGACGGAAACTTGGTTTACTATTTAAGGATAGGAAGGGCGCAGTGAAATTTTTTGGCGCGGCCTCTGATGTTTTATCACTCTCGGCCAATTATAAAATCTGACCTAAATATGCAAACAATTTGGAATTAATATTCTGGAATGATTTATGACTTTAAGCATGACAGCAGTTTCCCATTCAACATAATTATTTACATAAAAATTGGACACATGATCATTCAGAAGTAATGAATGTGAAAAAGGGCACACGTTCACACTAACTGAATAAGCTAAAATTGGAAATAGGATCATTTTATATGCTTTGTAGTAAATAGTTTCCAAAATATGATATACACTTCACTTCATTATGTATGTTAAAGTTGGGAACATGAAAACTGAATAAAATTTATGAGAACTAAACGCGCAAAAAATTGTATACAATGAAAATAATTATGTGTGTTCGAATTCAAACACTGTCATTTAAAATTAGAAATCAAGGCAAAAATAAGTATTCAACATAATTCTATAGTTTCAAGCCTGAAGCATAAAAATTCAATATAATTTATAAAGAAATGAATATTGGCACATATTTAATATAATTATATAGGCTCGAAATGGGAACATAATTCAATATAATTTTATGAATTTAAGGGCCGTATTGTCTGTAAATTTTGCAGCTTTAAATCCATCGATTTATTTAAATAATTATACTGAAGATGATAACTTTATTCTAAAGTCAGAAACTATGTTTAATGCGTACCGTATTCAGGTAGAAATGGTCAGTTGTATCGAATGTCACATCTTTTCATCTTTTGTGTGAGGATAAGTATCTATAATTTTCATTTCATGCATCCTGTTGTGTTACTATATACAACTGTATTGTTGTATTGTGACAGACTTAATAAGGTATTGTACAAGTATCTATGATATGAGTTTAAATTCTTTTTAGAAATGTAACACGGTACACACTATAGTGATAATGATATTGCCGTGATAATATGATGCTTTAAGAGTTTTTGGAATTTTAGTGACAATGTAATGTAATTTTTTTGCAGTTTCTAGAATTTCTATTAAAGTTTCACTTTCAGACTGTTCAGTTAAAAGTTGACTATTTTTTATTTAGTTTAGGAATTCCTACCATTTTGAACCACGAAGATTACTATTTCATGAGAAGTGACGTCACGTAGTCTGGCAGAAGTTTGACGATTTTTCGGTGAAAAACACTACTTCCATCTTCAGGGTCGAAGAGTAAGCCAAAATAACCAGCAAGACGAGCTCGGAGCTGCTCTGCTTGTTTGGAATACCCTTCTACCCCGAAGATATGAAATGCCTGCCGATGTCTTACCGCGTTCCTGCATGACTTACTCTTCCATCTCGAAGACTGTGGCAGTATTTCCTTCGAAATGTCGGTAAACTTCTACCGGGTTACACGGCATAATATCCAAATCAATAATAATCTTCATAGTGACCGCTATGAGAACCTCAAATCTAACATTTTGAGTCTACTAATAATCGCCATCTTGTTTCTTGTATGAACTTTGGTAACGTAATGCTATTTATGTACCACCCTGTTGCCCCCCTTCCCCCACACCCAATAAGTGTTTATATTCTCTTTATAATATAAAATCGGTCATTATATATGCTTATGATTTAAAAGTAGGCATATTACAATTTTCATATGATAGGAAAGTTCAATACGCAGCTATGTCACGTCCAGAGTTTTCCGTGGAAAGTTCGCAGTTACCATGGAGCTGAGTCCTTATTGAGAACCTACCAGTCGGTCACCTACTCCGAAATTTTCCAACATTTTATGGAACCCGAAGGTTCATTACCGTGCACACAAGAGCCGCCACTGGTCCCTATCCCCAGCCAGCTCAATCAATTCCACGTTCTTCTGGAGTACTCCCATAAGATTTATTTTAATATTACCGTCCCATACGTCTAGGTCTTCCTAGTTGTCTCTATCCTCCACGTTTTCTTAACAAATTATTTGTACTTATTATTATTATTATTATTATTATTATTATTATTATTATGGGTTTCCCCATGCACTTAGACCAGTTATTGGTCCATTGTGCGTATCCCCTTTAATTTCTACTGTCCCCATACCCTACCGGTAGACGGTGCGTGCTATAAGCCCCGTTGAGCCAACGAGGTCGGCCCTCTGTACCTTGATACTTCCCCCATCTACCAGAGGCATTGGAAACTACTTGGGCGGGAAAGTTTTTACCTAATAATTTTGCTCAGAGGTCTCCTAGAGACATGAGGTTCTTTTACATGCCGTAAATCTACGACATGGGACCCACGGCTTAAAGTCCCTCCCGGAGGACTTGTTCCCTGAAATTTTCCGCCCTTAAAAATTCCGCCTTGTTTGAACCCGCGTACCTTGAGTCATGAGGTGGGAACGTTACCCCTAGACAACGGAGGCCGCTTATTTGTACTTCATTTTCACACTTGCTACATGCCCTGCCAATCCCATTCTGAAACATCTTTACCATATATTCATATTCTCGCAACTAAGATGACGCCATCCCGCAAGACCCTGCATAGAACTGTTTGAACTCCGAAATTCTTGGTTACACCGTCTGGATGTGAACAATATTACCGACGTTTCGAACGTACATGCTACTTTCGGAGATATATTTTGCCTCTCCATCTTCAGACTCGACCATGAAGATGGAGGCAGCATGTATCTCCGAAATATCGGTAACATTGCCCATATCCACGCGGTATAACCACCAAAGAACTGAATAAGCATAGCAGCAGTTTGTCACCGTGACAGCTTAAAATCAGTGAGAGTGAACAGTACGGTATTTTCGCGTTTTAACGCCATGTAGTTCGGAAATATCTCGACGTTTCGGAAGAATATATATCGCCTCCATATTCAGGATAACAGCAAGTCAAGCACTGAATCACTAGAAGCAGAGGACAAGATGAGTTTATTTTTAAACCCTGAAGATGGAGACAACATGTTCGTCAGAAAAGACTCTCTCTGAACTAAGTACACGGCTTTACAACCCGAAAGACGTATTCTTCGTAGTTGTCGCCTGGTTACCTCGGATTCAGCATTTCAGGAAGAAATTTAATCAGCGTTTATTATCGCGGAGATATCGTCATAGAGCAAACACAGCGTACCTTGGCCAGCTGATAATCCACACCCGAAGTGGTTACAAAGTTGTGCCTCCAGTCCACAGGTGCGAGCGTCACTTAACTTACGTGCACATTCGGATACAAAGCACATATCAACTGCTATTTCAGCACTGGTAAGCAGCGCTCTAAATATTTCATTATTAAGTTTGGTATAAGTAGGATTTGCGTGGTTGGTTGAGGCACTTTGCTACAATCCTGGAGGTCGCGGGTTCGATTCCTGATGAGGTAATTAGATTCTTTTTCTCAATTGACCTAAACCTTCTAACCGCATTATGGCCCTAGAGTCGACACAACCTCTAACAGAAATGAGTACAGGAATCTTTCTGGGAGTAAAAGGGCTGCCGGCGCGTAAGACTGACAACCTCACCTCCATCTGTGAATCGACTGTCTCAGAGAAATGTTGGAGCCTCGCCTCTCCACGGCCTGTTACAGGGACGGCTTTACCTTAATATAAGTAAGGTTTACTGTAGTTTTCGGACTCTGTATTTCTTGCAGCATTCTAAATAACACAGCGTTTCGGAGACTGGCTCTGTTTCCATTCTCAGGTGAAAGGCCTGAAGGCACAAACTCTGTTGGATCCTTTAGAAAGTGCGAACCTCAATCACTGGACTCTTCTAGATTAAGTTAATTGGTCTGTTAAAATATACAATTAAAATAACTGATCGCGGTTAGCGCCTTCTATCGGACCAAACAGAGTTGGTGCTTTCCACCTGAGGACGGAAACATATCCAGTTCCCAAAACGTTGTGTTTGGTTGAATGCAGTAAACAAAAGTTTACTGCATTCAACCAACTGCTCTGCCTCTTGCTCTCCGTTATATACATACATACATATTATTTAGTAGAATAGGACATACCCCCTCCAACAGCAAGGGCCGTGATAGCGCAGTCGGTGTAGCGACTGGCTACAAGCTGGAGGACCGAGGGTTCGGAATTCAAGTCCTTGGAGGGTAAAGAATTTTCTCTCCTCCACGTCGTCCAGACCGGGTCTGAGATCCACTCAACCTCCTATCCAATGGGTACCGGGGGCTTTTTCCCCTGGAGTAAAGCGGCCGGGGCGTGAAGTTGACCACTCACTTCCAGCTAGTGCCGAGGTCAAGATATTGTCGATCTATACATCCACTCCCCCATACGCCTTCAGGGCGTAGTGCTTATTTAGTTAAGTATAGGGAAAATTTTAGCTTTACCCCCTCCAACAGCATGGAACCACCGTCTTTGATCGAGCAGGTAAAAGGGGCGCTCGTTAAATTTGATTGTTTGAGCCAAATCAAAGGTTAGGAAAACCATAAATATTAGTTTGTTCTTAGCAGAAAATGGGTTGTAGCTGCACATTATATAAAGGAAAGTTCTGTCTTCTGGGATATAATGCCGTGCTGTCCGTTGGAAGTCAACCGACGTTTCGGAGGAACATGTCGCCGCTTCCATCTTTAGGGTCGAAGAATAAGAGAAGCAAGAAACCAGAGGAAGCTGGTAGCAACCAAAGCGACTACACGGCACCATGAGAAAAGAGATAGAATAGATAGATAGATAGATAGATAGATATAATCACAGCTGTGAGAACGTGAAATCTTACATTTCATAGTAATTTGTAATCCTACTGGGCTTACATGGGGCACGCGGTAGCGTAGTTGGTGGAGGCACTATGCTACAAGCCGGGCCGCACCATAGCTCAAGCGGTTAATCGCTGGCTTCCCACCGCGGCGGCCCGGGTTCGATCCCGGGTCTGGTCAAGTGGGATTTGTGGTGGACAAAGTGGTGCTGGGGCGGGTTTTCTCCGAGTACTTCATTCCACCAAATTCTCCATCACCATAATCACCCGGGGCAGGTTACAACTGGCCAATCAGTGGCCGCCGTGCCGAGTGGACCCAGTTGGACTCCACCCCCTACTAAGCGAATTAAAAAAAAAATGCTACAAGCCAGAAGGTCGCGGGCTCAAGTCCCGATGAGGTAACTGGATTTTTTTCAATTGACCTAATCCTTCCAGCCACACTATTGCCCTGGGGTCGACTCAGCCTCTAACAAAAATGAATACCAGGAATTAATTAAATAATTTTCCTGGGGACTAAAGTGCGGCCGGCGCGTAAGGCTGACCTCACAGTCATCTATGAGCCGATTGTCTAGAAAATGTGGGAACCTCAACATCTCACAACCCTATGGGTCTTGACGGCCTGTTACAAGGATAGCTTTACTTTTTTTTTACTGGGCTTACATGACAAAGGAGTGGTTTAACGAGGGCCTCCAGCCCCAATGTATGAAGAGCGAACTTACTGAGGAGGCTTTGTGCCGTCTATGGGCAACGTCGTTCACTATTTTTCCTTTGTATTCCTTTATTAAGCACTACATATTTCGGCCTAACTGGCCATCTTCAGTGTACAGGTTGTTGAGGTTAAGAATTCTGCTGCTCACTGCAATGCGGGTTTCTTTCCTCCTGTTTTAGTTGCCTCTGGTTATTTTGGTTATGTCGGTTACCATCAGTTTTATTTAGGTGTCCTTGTGTTTCACGTTGTTAATTTTGGTTTTGTTTGGTTTGTTGGTTGTGGCTGCCTTGAAAACTCGCGAGATGGCAGCACCACTAAATGCGAAGTCCCGAGAATGTGTGTGACAGTACAATTTCAGAAATAACGTATCCTTTGATAACTTATTCTTTTTATAAGTGAAACAAACACAAGGCCCTGCAGTGCACCAAAGATTTTGAATTCCTCTTATACGCATTTATGAGTGTGTGTTTGTATGAGCATATCTTCTACCACCTCACATATTATGCCTCGGTTTTTAATAGGCCCGCCTGCATCGAAGTTGTAATGAAGACGGTGAAACCTGATCTGAGTCAAGGCCTCCTGAGTGAGCTACAGTGCCCGGGCTGCATGGAGTACATGCTGCCACCTATCGAGACATGCATGAACGGACACAACATCTGTTCGAAATGCAAGCCGAAACTGAAGGAATGTCCCGCCTGCAGGAAACCATTGCTTAATATGAGGAATTTCGCGCTGGAAAATCTCACCAGAAAAATAGACTATCCTTGCACCAACCGAAAATTTGGTTGTAAAGAAACACATTCTGTTGATTTCATAATTGACCATCAGGTTACATGTGTTTATGCTCCATTTACATGCCCTTTTCTTAAACACAATAAATGTGCTTGGATTGATATTCTAAAAAATCTGAAGAACCATTTGCTAGAATGTCACAGTCAAGACGTGAGAGAACAAAATGGCGAAACAAATCTTATAATAAACCCAGAGAGTAAGGAATTAAGAGGATATAAGGTTATGTTTGCCTATAATGAAATGTTTTATATATATATTCAGAGAAGGGCGACTAACTACTACATTGCTGTAACTTATGTTGGGAAGCCTGAGAATGCTTCCAAATATGGATATAAAATATCTTTCAAGAAATCGGAAAGTATTGAGAGCATCACGGTTTGTCACGTGTCACGCAGTGTTAATGAAGAGCTCAATAAGATCTTTGAGTCTGGAAACTGTTTTAAGCTTCCATATGACTTACTTAAGCGGTATGTGACATGTGATGGACAATTGAGGTACAAATTAGAAATTTTTGAAGTGTCACCAGTGCGTTAAACACTGTAAAATAACGCGAAGTAACTGCAAAACCTTGAGTCCTTCTTTAGAAACTAACAGTTGCTCAGCCACTCAAGTAATTCCCAGCATTTCATGGAGCCATAAGGTTCATCACTGTGTTCACAAGAGCCTTCCACTAGTCTCTTTCCTGCGCCAGATGAATCAAATCCACATCATCCCAACCTTACTTTTCTTAGATGCATTTTAATACTATTCCCTCACGTATATCTAGGTCTTCCTAGTGGTCTCTTTCCTTCTAGTTTTCCTACCAAAACACTATTCAATTCTGTTCCTGCGTGCTACATTCTGTGTCCAACTCATCCTCCTTGACTCCCCTATTCTGATTACATTTAGAGGGGAGTACAAGTTATGAAGCTTCAAATTATGCAGATTTCTCCAGGATCCTACTATTTTTACCCCTCTTCAATCCAAATTTTCGCCTCAGCTCCCTGTTCTCAAACTCCCCCAGTCTATGTTCATCCGTTAGTGTTTCACACCCACACAGAACTGCAGACAAAATTATGGTTTTGCGTGTTTCAATTGTTATGTTTTTACACAGCAGGCGAGAACACAAAAGCTTCCGGACTGAACGGTGACAAGCATTACCCGAATTTAATCTGGTCTTTCTATCCTCATGAATACAATTTTTGATTTGTTACTGTCGTTCTCAAATATCTCAACATTGCCACATTTCCATGTATAGCAATCTGATTGAATATTAAAGTTGGCTTTATGTACATATTTTCTGTCTGAAAACTCATGATTTATTCCTTTACTGATTTCCACACCACAGTCCACATTATAAAATGCCATAAAATGATATGAAGATACCAACATGTGACAATATAATACAGAGTTCTATATACAGCGCACCGTGAAACAAACTTATGGTTCTGCCGCACACGACGCGGGAACTGTCCGACATTTCCCTGAGAATGCGCACTCCCACAAGAAGAGTATAGCCACGTGCCACTTAAGACGTACGCACTTAAAAAGTTAATAAAACTATTAGAATAAAATTCGCCGTATCACCCCAATATCCAAAGCGACGTCTTCTCCATCAAGAGAAGCTGCTAGTGATAACAATTTTGAAGGCGTCTGGCGTTCCGATTCGAAGCGCCTTGGAGTCTCAACGAACATAACGTTAAGAAAGTTAATGCGTTTCCTTCGTCGGGAGATTACGTAGATTGCTAAAAAAAAAAAGGATATCAAACCAAGTCGCCATATTGGAAAGCGGCCCCACAAATAAAGCCATAGAAACACTTCTTACCTAATTCTTTCTTTTCTGCTGTAGATAGATCTCCTTCTGCAAATATTTCCACAACTTCTTCCAAGTTTCTCTGTTTCAAGTCCCGGTTTGCGTATTCAGACGAAACACATAGTGATGGTCGGGACTGAATTTCAATTATCTTATCAATCTTTCGGTGTCGAAATTGGACATGTCTGAAGGAAACAGAAATACACACGAGCACATATACACGCACGGACGTCAATGGACTGGCCTCAGACTGTCGTGTGATGTTGATTTGGCTTTGGTCTTCGTGGCAGCGATGCCAGCAGCATTAGCACTTGGCATCTCGGTTGGCAGCGATGCCAGCAGCATTAGCACTTGGCATCTCGGTTGGCAGCGATGCCAGCAGCATTAGCACTTGGCATCTCGGTTGGCAGCGATGCCAGCAGCATTAGCACTTGGCATCTCGGTTGGCAGCGATGCCAGCAGCATTAGCACTTGGCATCTCGGTTGGCAGCGATGCCAGCAGCATTAGCACTTGGCATCTCGGTTGGCAGCGATGCCAGCAGCATTAGCACTTGGCATCTCGGTTGGCAACGATGCCAAGTTGGAAGCGTTGCCAGACAAGATGCCAGGTGCGATATATGACTACTAAATTAATATACTGAGTTTGGCCGAGACGCTGGCAGCTGCGCCATGGCCTCCCGTTGGCATCCTAGTGCGATACCCCCCCTAAAAATGGAGGCGATATGTTCCTCCGAAATGTCAGGTCCTTGTTTCTCTCAGTTCCTCCAGACAAATGCTGGGATTGTACCTCGATTATGCCACGATCGCCTTCTTCCAGATCTTTCTAATTCATTCCTTATTTATTCCAGTGTTCTACTCCATGGAGCTGAGCTCTTCTTGAGAAGTCGCCAATCGTGCACCTACTAAACAATTTCCCAAAATTTTATGGAAGGTTCACTACCGTGTTCACGAGAGCCCTCCCATGGTCCCTATCCTGAGCCAGATGAATCCACTCCATACCATCTCCTCCTATCTCTCTAAGATCCCTTTTAATATTATCCTCCCACCAACGTGTTGGTCTTTCTATTGGTCCCTTGGCTTTCCAACCAATATTCCATATGCATTCCCCTTCGTGCTACATGCCCTACCCATCTCATCTTCCTTGACCTGAGGCAAGTTATGAAGCTCCTCATTATGCAGTTTTCTCCAAACTCCCGTCACTTCATCTCTCTTCGGTCCAGATATTCTCCTCAACACCCTGTTCTCAAACACCCTCAGTCTATGTTCCTCCCTTAATGACAGAGACCAAGTTTCACACCCATACAGAACCACAGGCAAAATTATAGTTGTGTGCATTCTAACTTTTATGTTTTCAGACAGCAGACGAGAAGACAAAAGGTTCTGGACTGAATGGTAGCAAGTATTACCATTGTTCGACGCTATATGAAATAGCGGCGTAGTGAGATAAACCACATACTGATTGCAATCGAAATCAAAACGGAAACAGCGTTCAGGGGGTTCCTCGCCCTATCCGACTGAGCAGCAGAGGCCGGGATGCTGAAGTTCATTCGTGCGTTGTAAGTGGGATAAACCGCATCAGTATGTCCTGTGTGAGGAGCTGCAATCCGACGTCACACACACAAATAACGAAGATACACGATCTTGGAGAGATACGAACATGTGACCATGAGGCACAGGGCCTTGGCGTCGACGATAATGCTGGATATTCCGTTTAAACTGATAATCCAAATTATGCAGGGTACACTGGAATTAATTCTGATGATCCTTCCTCCCACCCTTCCTTCCCCTCGGCTATGCAGCTCAGGGTGAGCTTTGGCCTCCTGAACAATCTCCTTCCAGTCTTCTCTACATCATCCGAGTTTATCTGCTTTCTGAACAATTTACTTTTTACGGTGTGAGGTTTATAACCTCACGCCCAACCCCCCACCCGGAGGACCAGGGTATCCTTCTTCGTCTGGCTCCTACCCCTTGACCTGTCCGCCATGGGTGACCCTACCAGTAGCTACGCTACCGCCGGCATAGCTCCCAAGGTCTTAGGAGCACTCGAACACCATCACCACGATAAGGTGGACACACCATTGATGGGAATTCTGATGATCAATGCGATATGAAACCCATTAGTGCCAGAATATCTCCAACTTAGTTCTGATCACGTGGCATTCTGTTACACCTAAGGGGCTCAGTGGTCTGATCCATATATCAGTCACCGAGCAAGATGGTTCAACCGGTAACTTATATTCAGGAGGTATTGATGTCGAATATCAGCTAGAAGACTAGATAACCTGCCTGATGATTTCCGTGGTTTTCCTCAGTCACTCCATGAAAATGTGGGGACATTAACTTAAGCCAAGACCGCATCTTGCCACGTATTTTCTTATTCATTATTCATTTATGATCCTACAATTCGAAGCTGTATAGTTTGAGCTATTGCCAGCACCGTTAAATAAATGAAGAGCAACCAGATATACCCTGTAATAGGCTGTGAAGGCCCATAGGGCTGAGAGACGTCGAAGCTCCCATATTTTCTCGGAATTCAGCTCACAGATGGCGGTGAGGTTGTCAGCCTTATGCGCCGGCCGGTCGGTCGCCCTTTACCCCTAGGAAGATTCTGGGACACATTTCTGTTAGAGGCTGAGTCGACACCAGGGCCATAGTGCGGCTGGAAGTATCAGATGAATTGGAAATTCCAATACCCTCATCGGGAATCGAACCCGCTATCTTTAGGCTTGTAGCACAATGCCCCAAACAATTACATTACCGCGTGCCCCAAACGACGAGCAACAAACCCACAAACAAACAAACAAACAAACAAACGTGAAAGAATATTAAATTCGGTCCTTACCGCGAATAAAACATTCCGTGTCTCCGTTATAAAATTTTAGTTGCTTAACATTGTTTACGAACCATCCATACTTATTTCAAAACGAAGTAAACAAAAATGGAAAGTTACTGCTTGTTAAAGTCAATAGCGATAAGCTACTACCCAGCCTTATATCGAATGTGTACCGGGGAGCTCCTTCCTCGGGGAGAAAAGCGCCGGGGGCTTGAAGATGACCCTCCAACTAGTGCTTAGGTCAAGAACACTTGAATTATACCCTGTCTTATCCGGAGTTCCACAGGGAAGTATCCTTGGGCCTATGCTATACTCCATATATACGGTTGACTTTCCAGAAACCGGACAAACAATGTTTACCACCTATGCCGACGACACAACAATACTAGCGTATCATGAGAACCCTATTGAAGCATCCCGGATACTACAAACGCACGTAGACTAATTCGAAGAACGGCTACAGTGATGGAGAATTAAGGCCAACGAAACTAAATCCGTGCACATCGCATTCGCTTTGAGACACGGAACCAACCTGGCCTCCGGTACTATTACGAGTAAACGGAACATGCATACCACAAGAGAGCCAGTCATGTTACGGATATGCAACCGCCTCTATGGTCTAGTGATCAGAGTTCCTGGCTACAGATCCAGAGGTCCGGGTTCGATTCCCGGCGCTACCAGATTTTCTGAGAAGTAGTGGGCCTGGAACGGGGTTCACTCAGCCTCGTGAGGTAACTGAGGAGCTATTTCAAGGAAATAGCGGCTCCGATCTAGAAAACCGAGATTAACGGCCGTGGGGATTCATTGCGCTGGCCACGCGACACCCTCTATCTGCTAAAGTTGGCACTAACTTCGCCGACTAGCGGCGGTCGTTCGGTCGGTATAGTTCGCTTGCGGACTATAGCCACGGATATGCACCATTGTTTTTGAGAACTTCTGTACCATTCCATTTGATCCTCTTGCAAAGCAAGCATTGTTCTATATATATCAAAGAGCTTCGTACGATACTTTTGGAGATAAAACATTCAGCAGAACGGGCAAACGGAAGCGATACGGGTATTCTCATAAGTGTTCACTTTAGAACGCTGTGCAAAGGACACGGCAAAATTCCAAACAGCACTTGTGGCCTCAGATAAGAAAAAGGTGCGGAATTTCAACACGATCGATGAAGCATTTGAGTCATGTGAATGATTATTTATCGGTCGATAAGGCGCGTTATCACAAAATAATTCTTATCCCACCCATTTCGAAACCTGCAATGAACCATCGCGTTGCTGTTCTTGCAGACTGTGGTACTTGCCGGAAAGACAAAGGTAAGTGCTTAAACGTACGTAGTATATAATTAGATATTAACTGAAACTGTTCGATATTATATCCGTTTTTTTCTTCTTTATACCTTATTTCTTGCATGACAAAACAGTGAGTAGTACTATATATTTCTTATATTTTTTTAATTTTTGGATATTATCCATCTGCCTGTTTCTATTTAACAATTTTACAGTTATTGACTTTCTGGGCAATTACTCATCGTCTTGTCTTCTTATTTAAAAACAGGACGATATATAATGTCCAAAGAATCAGTATTCGTATTAAATTACCATCGTCACAAAATTTTATATTTTATCTACAGTTTTCTTCTTAGTTATTATTTAAAATTGGGGCTCAGGTTTGTATGGAAGTAGCTTATATTTTTTTTACACATGACTGCCTTCTATGCATATATTAATTTATACTGTCCAGTTCCTTTTCTGTAACGTAAGTTGCTTTCTTGTAGTACCTCACTGCTCCAAATGAAAGTGCTTTCTGCGTAATTCAGTACTTAATTACGGTTCAGAATCGTAATAGTTTAGTACTATAGTATTGTGTCATTAAGCCTAAAATTGTATTGAAACGATATTAAAATATATAATACGACAACGTTAACAAACAATATGGCCAACATTGCATGAATGACGTAAATGAAAATTAAACAAAGTATTTGGTGTACGATTCTTGCGAATAAGTTGCTGTTCATGTGTTTCGTACTCGGACTGAAACCAGAGTTCATGCATTTGGCTTGAAATTGTTAGTCATTCGTTTCTTTCTGTAAACAAAATATCCTTAACTCAGTTTTTTTACAGCGTTTTGTAAGTTCTGAGAAATAAAAAAAAATTAATGTTATCCCTGTATTTAATTAATTAAGCAGTATGCCATGAAGATGTGTAAGGCAGTGCAGGTAGAGCTCCACCATCCTTTACCTCAGCACTTGATGGCGGTGAGAGGTTAGCTACGCGACCCGGCCAATTTACCCCCGAGGAAAGAGTCCGGGGTACCCCTTGGATAGGAGGGTGAATGGGCCCCGAGTCGGTCTGGACGCTGTGGGGAAGAGAGACAGCCTTATTTCTGCCAGAAATGGACATCCGGGCGTACAACCTGTAGCCCGTCGCTAAGCCGACTGAGCTATCCCGGTTGCTTGTAGTTTTCACACTTGATAAAAATAAAAGCAAACAAAAACAAAACATATTAAGACATGTAGTACAGCCGGGATAGCTCAGTCGGCATAGCGACTGCCTACGGGCTGGGCGACAGAGGAATCGGAGTTTGAGTCCCGGTAGGTTCTAGAATTTTCTTTTTCCAGACCTGCTCTGGGGCCCACCCAGCCTCCTATCCAATGAGTACTGCGGATTCTTTTCCCGGAGGGTAAAGCGGTAGAAGCGCGAAGCGGACCGGTCACCTCCAACTAGTGAAGACGTCAAGAAAACGCGGATCTATACATCCACTCCCCCATACGTCTTCATGGTGTAGTGGTTAATTAGCTAAGCACAGGGACAACTTCACATTATTTAAAACAGCTATGCTATCCCCTTTCGTTTTCTGGCTTACTTCAAAATTTGGCCGCGCCATAGCTCAAGCGGTTAGTCGTTGGCTTCCCATCGCGGCGGCCCGGGTTCGATCCCGGGTCTGGTCAAATGGGATGTGTGGTGGACAAAGTGGCGCTGGGGCAGGTTTCCCCTGGCAATCTTCATTCCACCAATTGCTCCACAATCACCCTCACCTATCATCTGGGGCTGGTACAGTAGGCCAGAAGTGGCCGCAGTACAAGGGACTTAGTCCCACCCCACTAGCGATAAAAATAAATAAATAGTAATACTACTCAATTTATGCGGCAATTTGGGAAGCTGCTGAGCCCTGGAGAAATGTCATGACTCAAGCGGTAACGGCAGGTAGTGTAGTGAACAAATGTCCATATGCATCTTCAGAAGCTACTTTCAGTAGTCAAAATGGCTGCAGTGCTTGAGAAGTATACTACCGAAGATAAAAGTTCTCTTGTGCCGTTTTTTTGTGGGCAAAAAAAACTCAATTCAAAGGATACTTATAAAGAAATGTTTCCTGTTTACGGTTGGAAGTGTCTGTCGCGTAAAGCGGTTCACAACTGGGTCGAGACATTCTCTCAAGGATGTTGGAAAGTCGCAGATGATGCCCGACCAGGTCGCCCTATTAATATTGCAACAGAAGCAACTGTGCAGCGGGTGGAAGAGTTGATTCGGGCTGACAGGAGAATAACGATAGACAGTGTAGCAACTGCACTAGGGTGTTCCCACGGTTTAGTATACAGCAGAATTCATGATCATTTGAAGTTTCGGAGAGTTTGCGCACGGCGGGCGCCCAGAGAACTGAAGGATGGACAAAAAATGAAGAACCGAATTGGTCTGTCCTTGCAACATCTCTTACGGTATGCAGCTGAAGGAGAAGATGCTTAACAGGATTGTTACTGGGGACGAATCATGGGTCCATCACTACAAACCCGAATCAAAGAGTGCCTCAATGCGATGGAAACATCCCAGTTCACTTTCAACCAAAAAGTGTAAGGTTACTCCATCAGCTGGGAAGGTTATGCTGACCATGTTTTCGAATTCTCAGGCGGTATTCTTAGCCCATTTTCAGAAGAATGGTGAAAATGTGAATTCTGCATCGTACTCTTGAGTTCTGTTGAAGCTTCGGTTTGCAATTCGCAGAAAACTTCCAGGCAACTGGCAAGACGGGTACTGCTTCATCATGACAATGCAAGACACCATACAGCTCGAGAAACCCAGGGGAGAATTCAAGAACTACAGTGGGAACTTCTTGAACATCCGCCATACAGCCCTGTCTTGGCCCCTACTGACTTCCATCTCTTCGGTCCACTAAAAAATCACCTTGGTGGAAAATGTTTCTATGATAACGAAAAGGTTGAAATGGAGGTGCGGAAGTGGCTGAGACAACAGTCAAAAAGACTTGTATGTTGCGGGTTTCAACACACTGCAGAGAAACGGGACAAGTGTATCAACGTTTATGGGGGACAGGTCGAGAAATATTTTTTTTTTCCCCCAGTTTCGAATATCATATGTTTTACGTTTTATAGCCATTTGTGACCTATTTACTGATTCTTCCTCGTAGGTAACGAACACGAAACAAACAGGTTCCCACAACGAGTCTGCATGCAACAATAGAGCAATTTCTAGAAACGGTGTTCTCTACGCGGTCCGTGCGAAGGGGTTATCAGTGGAACAAAATTAGAGTTCATTTCAGTTATAAGGAAGCTGCCATTTAGACAGGACTTGAGCACGGAGGAATTCCCGTAAAAAAAGACACATTTCTGAAATATACTTTTTAAACTCTTTGTCATTAGTAGAATACCTTGTTTGCTTGCAGAAGATGTTTTAGCTGTTCAACAAACGTTGAACAATGGACACCATCACGTGTGACCTGCGTCGAGACCTACTGAGTGAGCTAGAGTGCCCGGTCTGTACGGAATACATGCTGCCACCTATCTTGTTCTGCGTTAACGGACATAACATCTGTCCCAATTGCAAGCCGAAGCTGAAGCAATGTCCTACATGTAGACAGCCGTTTGTGAACATACGGAATGTAGCTTTGGAGAAAATGGCCCGACAAATCGAGTATCCCTGCTCCTACTGGAGGTACGGATGCAGAAAGAAGGTCAATTTAGACATCAAGAATAAGCATGAAAGAGTCTGCCCTTACAACCAATACAGCTGTCCTTTAACTAAGGTAAAGTATACAGTAATTACAATTAAAAGTTTGGTCTTCTGGGTTGCAACGGCGTGTAATTCGGAGAGAACCCGGCGTTATGGTGATCCTACTGCCTCCGTTTTCAGGGTCTAAGACTGTACCAAGCAAGAAACTTCTCTCCGAGCTAGACAGCGTTACATACCACAAAACCACTCTTCAAAGTTACCGATGTCACTTCCGCAAATTATTTAGAAATATTCTGCCCCAATTATGGGTAGTACATAGCCATGATCGCCTGGTCTCTAGTGGCAATCGGAAACTTTGGTGGGCGACGAATTCCCCCCATGCAGCGTCCGAGAGTAGACCTCCCCGAACTCTCAGTTGGGTCCTTGTGGCAACGACAGAACTGCCAAATACATCCAAAGAAGTGATGACCAATTAACTAACTCCCAGGAGCTAAGGTCCTTCTTGAAAACTAACAGCTGCTCAGCCACTCAAAAATTTTACGGAACAGATCCCAAGATCCCGGGTTCAATTCCCTGCGCTACCAGATTTTCTAAGAAGTAGTGGGTTTGGACCGGGGTCCACTCCGCCTCATGAGAATAATTGAGGAGCTATTTCAAGGAAATAGCGGCTCCCGTCTAGAAAACCGAGGTTAACGGCCGTGGAGATCGGTTGCGCTGACCACGTGACACCCTCTTGTCAGCAAAAGTTGGCACTAACTTCGCCGACAAGCGGCGGTTGCTCGGTCGGTATAGTTCGCGTGCGGACTACAGACCACGGAGTTTTTTGTTTGTTTGAAGGTTCATTACCGCGTTCACAATTGTCTGCCACTGGTCATCATCCTGAGGCAGATGGAACCAGTTCACACAATGCATCCTGCGTCTCTAGGATCTATTTTGATATTATCCACACATCTACGCCTAGATCCTTCTAGTGGAATTTTTCCTTCAGTCTTTCCTAACAAAAATTATATGCAATTTTGTCTGATGCGTAGCACGTGCCCTGTTCATCTTATCCTCCTTGATTTTGTTATTCTAATAATGTGAAGAGATCCTTCCGTTTATCCTTTCCTCATAAGGCAAAATAATCTCCTCAACACCCCGTTCCTCCGAATCCTCAGTCTGTTATTATTTAGAAAGAACAAACTCCGTGGCCTGTAATCCGCAAGCGAACTATACCGACCGAGCGACCGCCGCTTGTCGGCGAAGTTAGTGCCAAGTTTTGGGGATAGAGGGTGTCACGTGGTCAACCCAACGGATCCCCGCAGCCGTTAATCTCAGTTTTCTAGACCGGATTAAGTAGAAAGTAATACAAATTAATTTCGATAAATTTGCCACTTTCTTATGTCAGACTTTCGTGTGTTTAGGAGAAAAAGAATGACATTCGGAAAAGATACAACAAGAAGCCAGAAAATTTAGATTTGACTTCTTTTGGCGATCAAAACATCTGTTTGAAGACTTTATGTCTTGTGGGCTATAGCGCCTTTAGTCTGCTGAAAGTTAATTTTCACCGGACTACACGCGCTGTATCCCAGAATACAGAATTTTTCGTAACCATCGCTGTCAGAAGCTCAAATCCTGCGATATATCTGTTTCGCCACACGAATTCTACTTTCCTGACCCCTGTATATATAAAATAAATCAATAAAATGTTTACTAAACATGTATTTAATACTTTGAGGCTCAGTGATTATTTTATACAGCGGATCATCATGATTAGGAAGACAGCCCTGTTTCTGAGCCACAGCCTTTCTTAGAAGATTCTGCCAGATTTATCTGAGTTAGATTATATTAGGATTTCCCAACAGTATTATTCTTTACAGAGCAAGTTAGTCAGCCCTGCGTCCAACCTCCAACCTGGAAGGTCAGGTATTTGTATTTATGTGGCCCAGTTACGGCCCAAGACACGGGGTTGGCCTTTTCCTCGCCTTCTAACACTCGCAGGGCTGCGGTGGAAGGATTCTAACCTGCTTCTGAACTGGGAATAGAGGACTAGCGCATGCGCTAATAATCAGAATATGCGTTACTTCATCCTGACAGTGTACATCCTACTTCGTATGATTCTCACAACAAACAGGCCGTGGTGGCACATAGGGTTGTGAGACGTCGAGGCTCCCACATTTCCTACACAATCGGCTTACAGATAGCGATGAGGCTGTCAGCCTTACGCGCCGGCCGCCCTTTGCTCCCACAGATTCCTGTACTCATTTCTGTCAGAGGCCATTCCAGGGCCATAGTGCGGCTTGGAGGATATGGTCAATTGAAAATTCCAGTGACCTCATCGGGAATCGGACCCGCGACCTTCCGGCTTGTAGAATAATGCCTCAACCTACTACGCTACCGCGAGCTCCCAACAAATAATGAAGCATATCTGCAGCCTCCTGTCACTTCATCCCTCTTCGGTCCATATCCTTAGTATGTGTTCTTCCATTTATGGGTGTGAAACTTGGTCTCTGACATTAAGGGAGGAACATAGACTGAGGGTGTTTGAGAACAGGGTGTTGAGGTGATTATTTGGACCGAAGAGAGATGAAGTGACAGGAGGTTGGAGAAAACTGCATAATGAGGAGCTTCATAACTTGTACTCTTCTCCAAGTATAATTTTTTTTTCCTTGGCACTACAGCCCCAGTGGGCCTAGGCCTACCTCCATGAACTCCGTTCACTTCGGTTTATTCTCGATCTTACACATACGGTAGGACTCCTTGGACGAGTGATCAGCTCGTCGCAACGCCTCTACCTGTAGACAAACACAGAAAAACGCACACAAACATCCATGCCCTGAGTGGGATTCGAACCCACGATCCNTGTAGACGCTGCTACAATATGCTGACGTGTAAAAGCACAAAACTTACTAAGATAGTTGAGTACACTATCAAGTTCTCACTTTTCATCCGAAACTGTTTTAAGTTAAAACGCTAAATGTTAAAATATTTAATCTAAAATGCTGAATTCCTCCTTGTTAGTTCATCCCGAAGATGGGAGACGTCAGCTTGAAGTTGTATGGCTTATGGTTCGATGTTTCTTATGTGCTGTGTGTTGTGTACAAATTGTTACACTCGACGGACTCTCTACTAACTCTGTGATTGATAGTGTAACGGACCAAAATGAAACAATTAAAAAAAATGAGAGATAAAGTTTCACAAACTACGCTACAAACAAAACAATTTTGAAACTGCTCTCCTTCCTAAGAAAAATATAAAAGAAGGCATATGAGATCACTCTGCTGTCTGTGTGCCTGTGTCCCACCCAAAATTTTTCGCTTTCAATGCCCGTGTCATACCAAAGGAAAGTAAGTGAATAGTTCTTTCCAGAACTTCCTGCTTGTGTATTCTAATCTTTGTTTCTAGATAGGAGACGAAACTATATAATATTGAATATGGTATAAATATGTGCGAATCCCAGGCAATACGGTGACAGCAGAAACTTAAATAGCTTTACAGTCTCTCTACACCTACTGTGGGGCATGCGGTAGCGTAGTTGGTTAAGGTACTATGCTACAAGCCGGAAGGTCGCGGGTTCAAGTCCCAATGAGATAACTGGATTTTATTCAATTGACCTAATCCTTCCGGTCAGTCTCTAACAGAAATAAGTACCAGGAATATTCTTGGACTATTCTTGGGGGTAAAGGGCGGCCGGCGCGTAGGGCTGACAACCTTACCGCCATCTATGAGCCGATTGTCTAGAAAATGTGGGAACCTCAACGTCTCACAACCCTATGGGCCTTCACGGCCTGTTACAGGGATACCTTTACTTACTTTATTTTTACTGTACCTGCAGTGAGCTATAAAATGTTTCTGTACAGCCACGAAAAGCGTAGTTCTGAACATTTTTGCCGGTCCCTATCAGGCTGTACGGTGACAGCAGGAACCTGAATAGCTTTACAGTCTCTCTATACCTACAGTAAGCTGTAAATGTTTATGTACAGTCACGAAGAGTGTGTGAAATGTTATGCCGGGCTGAGCTACATTTTCGAAATTACCTAGTATTTATATTTTTATTTTTTCAGGTACCAGCAGTTAAATGTTCTTGGAGAGGAAGACTGGCCGACCTGAAGAAGCACATCACAACTGTACACTCGGAATGGTCACACGAATACAAGGGAAGCTTTATCACTGGTCTGGTAGACATTATGCCTTCTCGAAGATACTGTTATATCATATTTGCTTATGATGAAATATTTTACAGGTACTTTTCAGTAAAAAATGGTAATTTCTGGGGAGTCTTACAATATATAGGTCCAAAGGAAAATGCAGCTAAATTTCGGTACAAAGTAACTTTCGATAACAATAATGACGCAGGAAGCATAACGATATGTCAAGTGACTCGAAGCTTTGAAGAAAGTATGGACGATATAAGGGACACTGGTAAATGCATTAAGCTGCATTATGACGTGGTAAAGAATTTTGTGAACTCGAAGAATAACCTCAAGTTCCAGATGGAAATATTCAGGAATGACGATAAGGTGTAAGGAGTTGTGTATTCTGTGCCTCAAGTGAGTTGTGCCATTAAAAAGACTATGTAAAAATATATTTATTGCAGAAAATCATTCGCTTACTGCGTCATTGTCAGAACTGCTGACGCAACAAATGTACTCAGAGCACAATATTTGCCTCCAAAATTTCAATTCCTGAACCCTACATTTTTAAACCAGCAGTTGCAAAGCTGGTGGAGAAGTGAAGTAAGAACTTTCGACATAAAATTTCATCAGAACAGTCAAACAGTTCTGTAGGTATGAGATAACACAGCATAGGAATCCATTTTGTTTAATTATTTCAAGAAGAGAATGGATTACGGAAATGCTGTTATTCTGTTTTCTGATATGTAATAAAATACAGAATATTGTGTTTATGTAAAAGGTAAAGTTGTCCCTGTGCTTAACTAATTAAGCGCCACAACATGAAGACGTATGGGGGACTGGATGTATAGACTTACGTCTTCTTGGTCTCGGCACTAGTTGGAGGTGAATTTTCAGCTTCATGCCTCTGCCGCTTTATCCCCGGGGAAAGAGCCCCCAGGATCCATTGGATAAGAGGCTGGGTGGTCCCCAGAGCCGGTATCGACGACATGGAGAATTAAAAATTCTTGACCCTACCGGGACTACAACTCCGATCTCTCGGTCATCCAGCCCGTAGCCAGTCGCTACAAAAACTCCTCTGTCCTTGCTGTTATTGTGTTTATGAGCATGAAATTTAAAGGAAACAGAGAAGCCTGTGAAGCTGTACACGTCTCTACTTTCATCACAAGTTTCTGGTATCGGCCATATCATACTGGTTTACATATGCCCAGTTCTCTCTGAAATAGACTTATGTGTACTGTTCAGAATTCCATACTACAGCCCTGTACATATTCTAGTCTTCCTATACTGCCACCCCTTATCCCCACAGCCTATTTCCCTAAGACCCACCTCACCGATGGCAGAACCCGAAGGTTCAACATCAAAGACCGCCACTGGACACGATTCTGAACCAGTTCCGTCCACATACCATCCTCACAACCTATTTCCTAATATGCACGTCACTATTTAACTACACCTCTGATAGCGGAACCTGAAGGTCCAACACCTCTAATATCAAAACTCGCCATTGGACGCGAACTATTACAAATATTAATATTTTACTGTGTATGTTTAAACAGTTGGGCCACGCGGTAGTATAGTTGGATGAGGCACTATGCTACAAACCCTAAGGTCGGGGGTTTGATTCTCGATGAGGTCATTGGATTTTCAATTCATGTAATCCTTCTAGCCGCACTATGGTCATGGGGTCGACTCAGCCTCTAACAGAAATGAGTACCGGGAACTTACTGGGGGTAAAGGGCGGCCGGTGCGTAAGGCTGTCAACCTCACCGCCATCTGTGAGCCGATTGCCTAGAAAATGTGGGAGCCTTGACGTCTCAGAATCGTATTGGTCTCCACGGCATGTTAGAGGGATAGCTTTACTTTACATTTTTATCTTTTACGAGTTACGATTCGAGTTCTAAGAGCATTTTGTAGACTTTGTAAACAATTAAATGAACTTATTAAAATCCGACCATCTTCGTCACCTCAGTGATTTCATATAAGAAAGGTGTTACCGTGGAAGATTTTGAAGTTCATTCGGCTTGGCAAAGAACGACGGAAGAGTGTACTCTGGGGTCCGAAATTCAAGTTCCAACGTTGAACATTCGGGGTGTAAGTCTAATGAGTGTTAATTTAATGGGGTCGTAGGTCTAGAAGATCGCAACTCAGGAAGTAGTCGAGGTACGATTCTATTTATAAACTGGTATGTGACGCCGTATAATCTGGTAGCACTTTATCGACGTTTCGTAAGAATGTACTTCCTCCATTTTGAGCTCTCCTTGCTTGGCTTACTATTTAACCTTGAAGATGTGCTATGTTCCTCCAAAACGTCGGCAAACATCTACCAAAGTACACGGTGTCAAACACCAGATGATGGTACTCATAACAGTCGCCGACGCATGACGTGTACACCTAACTAGAGTTTTCGAATAACCAGATGACCCACTGAAGTGTAATACTGGTAGGTCTGACCATGGGCACTGCCAAGAAGATGTGAACCCCCCCTAATAAAAATTGCTTACATAATTATGTTAAACCGATTTTACTTTTTTCTTCCAATTCTGAATTTATCCAAAAACCTCGAGGTGGGTGGGACGATGTCTGGCTTGCCCCCCCAGTCCCCACCCCCGCGGTTCCTCTGGCAACCGTGGACCTGACTCCTCTGTTACATATTTTGTGTTATGTTGCACCAGATACAAACAGGTACTTGCGAAACACCGAATGAGAAACACTGTCTACAGCAGGCATGTCAAACTCATCTTGTACAGAGGGCCACCTCAGCCCTACAAATAATAGTCCAGGGCCGCACTTCAAAATAGAAATATACATTAGATTTTGATACAAGGAAATTTAATTCTATTTATTATTTAGGAATAATTTCAATATAATTGCCTAAAGTGGAACACTAATATTTTGCTCACAAATCAAACATGTAAGTTTACCTTCTATTTCACAACAGAAATAAGCGATTTCCCATTTTTCTTGAAATACACGGCGCTCACTTTCAATAGTTCTTTTTTCCTATTTCAATTTTTTGAAAACGACATTGCCCTTTAAAAGTTACTGTACATATACAAGAAAACTCGTAGTTGATAACTTAATGTTTAATTATAACCTTTATACGTTCATCACGATGTAACATCAGCACCTGTCGTTGTGTGAAAATGAACTGAATGACAGTGTACAAGAGACTACCGGACTAGTAGGAAGGTGTATCTTGTCTCAATAGTCATAAAAGTGAAAGTTTGCTAGCAGCCCATTAGACAATGACCTGGGGTTGCAAGCTAGTTTTGAAGGTAGAAATCCCTTTCACTCCTCTGTCAGTTGTCACCCTCCTTGCGTTTTTACTACGCCTCCAAAAGGGATTCTTGGAAATACTTGGGGTGGTGAGGCTGTGCGGATTTTAGTGCATTAACATTCTGAAATACAATAGTTTGTCCTTCACGAACTTTACAAACCCTCCTGCAATTCTCGGAATAACTTTTCCTGCAGCCTGCTAATTTATGTCTGCGTGAGACTTCTTGTCATTACAAAAAAATATTTATACTAAAATTTTAATATTGATTTTAATATCAATTAGCTCTAAAAGTTGAGGGGCCGCATGCGGCCCGCGGGCCGCGTGTTTGATACGGCTGGTCTACAGAATTTCATTGAAGAGCAATGTTGTCTTGCTCCACATGCTAACTATATTTTGCGTACAACAGGTTGAGAAACACTCCACGACCTTGCATCTGTAAGAGCGTAATGTTTCCTAGCCTGTCTTGCTCCTGAATTAGCAGCTCTGTAATGTTGGTAGTCATGACTCTGCTATTGCCGAGGGTGGGAAGAGTTAATTAGGTTGGTGTTTATACGGGGAGCCAATGTCTGAAAATACTGCAGAAAATAGCATGTAAGTTGTTGAGATTATGATTTTATGAATGTTGTGTGCTATAAGTGCAAAGTTTAGGCGATATGAATACGTTTATTTGTGCTGCCGAATGGATAGTGACGTGCTTTGAATGAGCAGCAGCCATTGGCATGAAGGATCTGTGAATTATCAGTTACATCCAGTTAATAAGTTTTCGGCTGTCTCTGATTAGTTACATGTGTTCTTTGTTGTTGCCCAATAGCAAAATATGAAAACTTAATTTTTTTAATATGATTACACCATTCACCGAATAGACTGTGAGGTATGTTATGTGGTGACGTCACGTATGTGTGAAGAAGAGGGCGAGATCCGTTAAGCATCGACAGTACAATCAATAAAAGTTTGAGACGTTGGTATATTAATACAGTTGGTGTGTTTCTGAACATTATTCATCTTTTTTTTTATTAAAACGTTTCGTAGACTGGATTCTCTCTCCGTCTTTAGGTGGAACCTACTAGTTGGGCCCAATCGATAGAGCTAGTCCGTATCTCCGTAGCTACGGACTAGCTCAATCGATTGGGCTCGACCGAGTAATACTTGTATTGAAGATACAACTTATTCGGAATATAATAAGTTACGTCATTCCATTTCCTTGAATTAATGTGAAGGCGTCTCTGTGCCGAGTTAATTAAGCAGTACGCCATGAATATGTATGGTGGGTGTGGAGGTATAACTCCACTCCACCATTCTTAACCGCGAGGAATTTGTAAAGAATAGACGATGCTGTTCATTCTGGGGGGGGGGACCTCTCCTCACTTCCTTCAATTAAGGTAAAGGTGCCCCTGTGCTTGCTTAATTTAGCACCATGCCAAGAAGATGTATGGGGGAGTGAAAGTATGGCTGCACCATTCTTGACCTCTGCACTAGGTGGAGGTCAGTGGTCAACTTCACATCCCTGTCACTTTATCCCCGAGGAAATAACCCCTGATACCCTTGTATAGGTTGCTGGGTGGGCCCCAGGGCTAGTCTCATTTCCATAAATTGGCTGTATAAATTGTGAATCAAGAATGCGTGGAAGTTTACCTCCACTCCCCCACACATGTTAATTATGGTGTGCTTAAATGAGCACAGCGACAATTATATTTTATAGAAAACTCTTGTTTCTTTTGTGAGCGTGTAAGTACCATATATCTCTCTTTGAACCGCAGTTACTAATGTCGTTGACAGAATGTCATGCTGCAGGAAAGAAGCTTCAGGCCTGCATACTCATCAACCTTGAATGTTCATGCGAAACGTAGGTTGGCTAGAACTATTGATAGCCACCGCTGTGAAAACATCAAATCCAAAAACAATCATCTCTTCTCCCTCCCTGATCTCATAAATATAACATCGCCACAGCTATCATACAGCCACTGAGCCTGAGATAACAATAATTGTACTGTACAGTAATAATAAATATACCTGTCTTCCAAAGGATTTGAGGGGCAAATTAACAATTGTTTTGTCAGATACCTGTCTTTTGAAAAAAATTCATTCTGTATACATAATTTTAATTCTAGTTTCCCAGGAAATGCTGTTTGTAAGTACTGACGCAGACTCCAGTCTTTAACCTTGTAGGGTTAAGGGGGAAGGGACGCAGACAGACTAGCATCAGTTCAGAACATACTGGCCACTAGCATACTTGTGTAGTGGTCAGTTGAACTGAACTAAAGCAATTGTGGTTGTATCTTTACAGTGCAGAGAGTCATTTCAGTGGTGAAACTTGCACTGAGTACAGTAATATTACCCCTGATGAAGACACTGACATGTTTTAGCTCAGGTAGTAGTTACTAATTCATGCCGCTGCCACACCTTTAATGGTTCAGACTTCCTGCACTCCTCAGAGCTCTCAAGATTACAGTCTTGCACTGTATTGATCTTTCACAGTGGTGTGATTCAGACTTTTGATCTTACAGCTTGTGATACTGGGTGTTCATAAGGCACACCTACCTCCTCCACCCTAAGGCAGGCTATAAGCAGAGCCATCATTTTTCAGAATTACACTTTTCCTCATGAGAGCAGTATTGTCACTGAAAAAAGCCTTCTGTATTAGGAAATTTCCCACCTGTGACAAAAGCAGTGTCTCTTAGAAGGGCAGTTTTCCTAATCAGCGTGCCCATTGGCACCATTTCATCACTCACTTCATTGCGCCTTGGCGACAGTTTGCCTTGAGACCTGTTTATATAACCAAGCCAGTTTCTCAACTCCAAAAATGGTGCCAGTATTCCCCTGAAATATCATTGTCAGCCCATAAGATCATACGATGTCACAGCTCAGAAAACCACAGTTTTCGAGTGTCACTGCTTGAATTTTCTTGATTTTAAGGTCTGAAGACACACCAGACAAGACCAAGTCAGACATGCTGTTGAAGGAAAGGTCAGACATGCTGTTGAAGGAAATCCTGGAAACACTGGAGTGTCCTGTCTGCCGAGAGTACATGGTACCTCCTATTGCCATGTGTGAGAGTGGCCACAGCATATGTACCATTTGTAGACATAAACTGAATAAATGTCCAACTTGCACCAAAAATTTCTCAAAATCAAGGAATTTTGCACTTGAATATATAGGTGGAAAAATTGAGTACCCTTGTAGATATCTTGAGTTTGGATGCAGAGAGACATTTTCTCTTGAAAACATTGCGTCACATCAAACAAAGTGTCGTTACCAAGCCCATGTGTGTCCATTTTCAATTGTAGAAACAAAGTCTTGTTCATGGCAAGGTCCAATTGCTGCAGTAGAGAATCATGTCAAGGCCAAACATGCTGAGCTCTGTAATTCAACTACACAAGCAGGGAAGTATAAAACTAGGTTATGGAGTATTGAAAGTGGCCCATTATGGTGTCGAGCGATGTTCTCAATGGATGAGGTGTTCTTCTGGTATTCAAGAATCATAGACACTCATTTGTACAGTTGTGTTTTGTTTGTGGGGTTAGGGGACAGAGCTTTAAATTACAAATACAGAATAACAATCAACAAAACAGATGGCTCTGGGACTGCCAGTGCTTGCCATGTGACCCGGTCATATTTAAATGATATTGAACAAATCTTCCAGAATTGTGACTGCATAGTTTTTCATCGTAACTTTATAAAGACTTGTATGGATGCTGAAAAATCTTTACTGGTTGAGATAGAAATCTTAAAAAGTCTGCCCTGAAATGTTGGCTTTCATAATTTTTTCTGGGTATTCTTAGTATTGTTTCGCAAATCAAGCCATATGCCTGTTTGTGTGGCAATCTGAATATTTCAGCAGATTTTTGCATCCTTAAATGTTGCTATCCCTCATGACCTTGTTGTCTACACAGTGTCAGCTCAGTGACCATAAACTGAATTTAAATCCAGGTACATATGTAACAAATTAAGAGAAAACGTTGTTGTCATCTGTATTCAGCAGAACTTGCTGATAAACTAATTATCCACCTCCATGGAGATGAGTCTTTGTTGAGAAGCCACCACTCACTCAGCTAGTCAGTGATTTCCCAACATTTTATGGAATTCAGAGGCCCTGTCCCATGTTCACAACAGCTTGCCACTGGCCCCTCCATACCACCCCATCCTGTATCTCTGTCGTTGCCTTAATATTATCCTTCTACATATGTCTAGGTGTTCCTAGTACCCTCTTTCATTCTGGCTGTCCCACTGAAAACTTGAATGTATTCATCTTCACCATGCGTGCTACACGTCCTGCCTATCTTATCCTCATGGAATTTTCTCCAGGCTCATTATTTCATTCCTCTTCAGTTCAGGCATTCTCAGATACCATCATTCTGTGACCTTCCCTTAATGTCAAGAAACCAAGGTTTGCACCACACAAAACTAAAGGCAAAATTATTAGTTTGTCTGTTTTAGTTTTTATGTTTTTAAACAGCAGACGATAAAACAAAATGTTCTGAACTGAATGGTAGCAAGCACTACCCAAATTCAGTCTGCTCCTCATTGCCACATGAATCAAGTCATTTTAATACTGTCTTTGGGGTTCAGATCACAGTCATAACTTGTAGAAGGTTAAAACCTCAGTCCCCCAACTCGTGTGTCAGATAGAACTGTGTTCTGTAAAGAAGCCAGTAAAGAAGTGTTCAGCAATGAAGACACAGCAGACATTTACAAGGGTCAGTCAAAAAGTTCCCGGAATGGTGGTATAGCACACCCTTACCTAATCACCTTCAAAGTAGGACCCTTGTGCGCACACACACTTGTTCCATTGATACTACCATTGTTGGAAGCAGCAGTGGAAGGCTTCTTTTGGAATCTTCCAGAGCTCAGCCGTTGCATTCGATTTGATGTCCTCCATGGTTGCGAAACATGTCCCCTTGAAGCCCTTTTCAGAGTAGGGAACAGCCAAAAGTCACTCGGAGTGAGATCCAGAGAGTATGGTGGTTGAGTGATGACAGGAATGTTTTTCTCAGCGAGGAATTGTGGCACAACAAGCGATGCATGGCTCGGTGCGTTATCATGTTGCAGAAACCACTTTCTCTTTCACTTGTTGTGCTGCTTCCTCCGAATCGCATCGCGCAACTTCTGCAAAACTTGTACGTAGAAATGGCCAATAACAGTACCAACTTCTTGCTCCAACTCTGCGATGATCATTCTTTGATCACATCGAATCAGTTGTCGCACTTTTCCAATCATTTTTTCAGTTCTGGATGTCAAAGGTCTCCCACTGCGCTGGTCATCCTCTTTAACGCCTCCTGCCCATCCTTAAACTGGGAAAACCAGTAGTAAACTGCGGATTTCTTTAGTACAGTATCACCGTAAATTTGCTGCAGTGCCAATAGTGTCTCTGAAGCAGATTTTCCTGATTTGCACATGAACTCGATGTTCGCATGCTGTTCGAACTGTGACATTGTGCCGAATGACCAACACTGCACACTGAAATCTGTCTAGACCTGTTGCGCCTGCGAGCAGACATGCTGAGCTTCCCACAACAGTGTGTGCGCTATCTTATCACTCGTTCTCCGTCTGCAGGGGAATTCCAGGAACTTTTTGACTGACCTACGTATGTCACCAGAGCAGATATTGTGGAAAGTTAAGTGCCAAACTTTAAGAATTTGTAAAGTAACTTCACCATCAACAGGCTTCACAATTCATGCTTCTTTGTAATTACTTCTGTTGTCAAGGTGAGTTTATTAACATTGCAAATAAAGGGTACCTATTTATGTGAAATTAAGAAGCATCAGATGTTCTTGTATTGATTTCAGTTACCTGTCATAAACCAAGAGGAACTCTAGAAGGGAAAAGGTACCAAAATAGTTAACTGATGGGAAAGTTTTATTTGTTTTTGCCAGTTCTGATGTGTGTGTGATAGTTTCTGTAAAGTATGTACTTTGTACCCTTTTTTTGTATAGGAAAGTGACATCACATTCAGCAAAATAATGGGGTCCAGGAATTTGTATATAAAAGTAAATAACAGTGTTAATATGAGAATGAAACTGAATGCTTTTGATTATTTACATCTGTATGTATTTTGCTAATAGTAAATATATTTATTTCACTTCATCTGTGGTACCTAGTTTTTATTATTTAGCTTCAACACAATTACTCTTATGCTATAAATTTACTGTTTTGGCTTTCTGGTGATTATCACATATTACACTACGTACATTCACATATTAAACTATGTACATTCACCTTGAGCTCAACTGCTGTTTCTTCCTACATTGGCAGATGTTTTTATTTGGGAATAATTTTCTCATTGTTGTATACAAATGTACCAATTTTTTAAAGTGTAAAACTGAGTGTACTGCTGAAAAAGGCAGCTCTTCTACTGTAACAGTGTAGAAATTAAGTGGAACAGTTGGATCAATTATACAAATTTGAAAGATTTCAGCAAATAATTTTTATTTTAAAACTGTTATAGTATGTGTTTGTAGATTTGGACACTGTGTTGCATGTTAGAAGTATGGCAAAGAGTAGCAGGGTAGTGGTCACCTTCATTGTGGGATGGAATGAGGATAAAAATGTTGTAACCCATACACACCCTATAATTTTTATTTAAGTGAGTGAACTCCACCAAATCGACTGTGTGTTCTGTTGGGAACGGTCAGTTATAAAAATGTGGACATGACAAATCTAAACTGAGAGCAATTACAGCTGGAGACTATTAGATTTTTGTTTTTACACGTTATTCAGTTATTTTCCAAACTCATGACATATTAAAATATGAAGAAAAAATGCACGTGATTTTGTGTTCATGATATCTTTCAGTATTACATCAGAAGTTAATGTAATTGCCCAGATGTGTTGTAATGATGGGAATTGAAACTCCTTTGTAACTGAAAAGTATGCGTTCCCATTGCAACCGTTGAGCAGCAATGGACGTCATATAACATGTCACAATACTTTTCCTCCATACGGCTGCCAACTCAACGTATGACTTATCATGAAAGATGTTTAAAGAGTTTGTTAGGCTTGGGAGGAGCCGGGATAGCGCAGTCGAAATAGCGGCTGGCTACAGGCTGGACGGCCGAGGGGTCGGATATCGAGCCCCGGCAGGGCCAAGAATTTCCTTCACGTCATCCAGACCGGCTCTGGGCCCACTTAGATTCCTATACATTGGATACCAGGGCTCTTTCCCCGGTGGTAAACTGGCCGGGGCGTGAAGCTGACACCTGCAACTAGTGCCGAGGTCAAGAAAATATGGATCTATACATCCACTCCCCCGCACGCCTTCATGGCGTAGTGCTTAATTAATTAGGTATAAGGAAAACTATACCTTTTACCATTATTTAGGCTTTGGAGCCCAAACACAAGCAGATTAATTACTAAAGAAATATTGTTAGGTAAAGTCCCTGTGCTTAATTAATTAAGCACTACGCCATGAAGGCGTATGGGGGAGTGGATGTATAGAACCACATTTTCTTGACCTCGGAACTAGTTGGAAGTGAGTGGTCAGCTTCACACCCCGGCCGGTATACCCCCGGGGAACGAGCCCCCGATACCCATTGGATAGGATGTTAGGTGAACCTCAGAGCCGGTCTGGACTTTGTGAAGCAAAGAACATTCTTGACCCTACTGGGACTCGAACTCCGACCCCTCGGTCGTCCATCCCGTATCTAGTTGCTATACCGACCACGCTATCCCGACTCCTTAATATCGTTAAATAGACACTAATTAAACAAATAAAAACTGGCTTTCAATTTTAAGATGTATTTGGGCGGTACCAGGTTCAAACCCATGATTTTACCGATTTCTGCCACTGCCTTCCAGAAAATGTCTGGGCAGTACCTAAAATTAGACCATGACAGCTTTCTTCCGAATCCTTTGCAATTCATTAACCTCTCTACCATTCAACGCTATATAATGTGCCGCTAAATAAATCATAAATACAGAATCCTTAACACTTCATACTGCCATCACAACCACAATTTCGGGGCCCGTAATATAAAACCAACGCTGCGTTTCCGAGATGTGGCATAGACGAATAATAAGGAAACAAGTTACACATTTACCATTTGTTCCCATATGCAGACAAATAACAAACTGGATGCAAAAACTAGTCAACATATTCTAACGAGCATTACCTCTACCGCTGAAACGATATGGCCAAGTTCACAGCGGAATGCCAACCAGAAGTACACCAACTTAACCTTTATTGTTCAAACCCCCAAATTGTGGCAAACTTCAGGAACATGTTCTCCCTCTAATATTTTCATAACAGTCGGTTTTCCAACAAACTGACACGTATACAAACACGAATTAGAACTATATACACGTACAAGAAACTCATCACCTCAAACGCCATCTGTCCCGATCTGTGGAAGGACAAAAAGTCGCATCTTGCGAAGAGAGAAAACTCTGTGGTTTTAGTCCGCAAGCGAACTATACCGACCGAGCGACCGCCGCTTGTCGGCGATGTTAGTGCCAAATTTAGCGGATAGAGGGTGTCACGTGGTCAGCGCAACGAATTCCCACGGCCGTTAATTTCGGGTTTCTAGACCGGAGCCGCTAGCTCCTCAGTTATCCTCACGAAGCTGAGTGGACCCCATTCCAGACCCACTAATTCTCATAAAATCTGATAGCGCCGGGAATCGAACCCGGACCTCTGGATCTGTAGCCAGGAACGCTGACCACTAGACCACAGAGGCGGTCCATCTTGCGAAGACACTACAGAATTAAAAAATCAAAAATGTCCAGAATGCTTGAAATGAACCATCATAACATCAGTTACGTTCTTTATTTGCCTCTATATCTATTACCGATATTTTTTTTTCACAAATTTAAAGATGGCTACCGGCCTTCACCAATCCATTGATAAAAGTAAATAATTTTAAGTGAGTATTCTTTGAGATATCAATTGCACCATAGAGTGTAAAGACTGCGTAGAAATAATTTAACCTGTTTGTACTTTTTGATAAAGCATGATAAAGAGAAATTTGCGTACTTGTGCAGATACCGCGTATCTTACTGCTGACTCAGAGGTATCTAGGAGGATATGTTATATATATATAAACTGATGATAACAATGTGGCTAGTTCAGAACGTGTGCAGCATCTAATCTGTGTTCCTGGGTCGCCTGAAAAAGAGTGTAAGTAAGAGTTTGCTTGGGTGTTATAGCTGTCCCTTCAGGTATGGGCACCGCCCCTGGTTTATTCGTGGAGGGGATGCATCAGAATATTTGCTTATAAGCTCACGTTTTAACATAATTTTTACCGATCATCTACGGTATTCAAGATTGAAAAATAATTGAAAAGAATTTGACCAGTGCGGTGGCCTGAGTTGTAACGCCGTGTGATTAGGAGAGATTCCGACCTTTCGGAGGAAAAAACAGCCTCCATCTTAAGAGTCGAAGAGTAAAGCAAGAAACCAGAAGTATGCGGCCAGCTCGCCGCCTCTCATGGTTCATTCTTTCGTTTACTCTTCGACCTTGAAGACGGAGACGATATTTTCTTCCGATACGCCAGACGACATTACAATCAAGAAAGTCCGTGCTCTTCAAGGAGAGCTGTGCTATGTCATAACCGTGCGAAAGTCAGATATGAAGTATTCCATATTTTTCAGCCTTAGCAATGGAGTTTACAGGTATACCGGATACCGAAATGGAAATGTTCTCTGTATGGGAGGCGGGATAGGGCAGTCGGTCTTGCGGCTCGTTACGGGCTCGACGGCCGAGGACTCGGAAGTTTGAGTTACAGTAGCTGCAGGATTTCCTTCTCTCCGCGTTGTTCAGACCGGTTCTAGGCCCAGCCAGGGGGTAAAGTGACTAGGTCATGAACCTGACCACTCGCCTCCAACAAGTACAGAGGTCAAGAATACGTGGATCTATACATCCACTCCCCTATACGTCTTCATGGCGTAGAGCTTAATCAGTTAACCACAGGGATAATTTTACCTTTTCGCTATTCTCTGTATTGTTATTGTGACAGATTGGGCCGCTTCTAGGAAACGAATAGGTAAATACTCTTAATTTCATGCATCCTGCTGTGCTACAATATACAACTCTTTAATGAACCGTCACAACACAGCAAATAGTAAAACATCAAAGTCAGCGTACAGCTGTGGCTTTGCTACATGTTTCGGCCACTATCGGCCATCATCAGGCAAATACGTATCAACAAAATCTACCATTTAACTGCAGTCATAAAATGGATATAACACTATTAATCGTACAATTTTAAAATTGCTTATGTAAAAAATAGAAAAGTTCAGATTATATAAAAATTAAAAATTGGAAGTATTATAACAGGATAAAATATTAATGATGTTTTCAAAAACACTGAATCAGTCGTTAGATATACTTTGTGTGCGTTTCCATAGACAATAGGGAAATTCGATATTACTTTATATAGAAGATTTTAAGAGAGGCCCATGGTGTAGCAATTAATGAATTGTGTAATGCTGCCTCGTCATTAAGAAGAATTGTCCGTATTGCATGGAAAGCAAACAACAACAACGCACACAAAGTATATCTAACGACTGATTCAGTGTTTTTGAAAACATCATTAATATTTTATCTTGTTATAATACTTCCAATTTTTAATTTTTATATAATCTGAACTTTTGTATTTTTTACATAAGAAATTTTAAAATTGTACGATTAATACTGTTATATCCATTTTATGACTGCAGTTAAATGGTAGATTTTTGTTGATACGTATTTGCCTGATGATGGCCGATAGTGGCCGAAACACATAGCAAAGCCACAGCTGTACGCTGACTTTGATGTTTTACTATTTGCTGTGTTGTGACGGTTCATTAAAGAGCTGAATAGGTAAATACGTTCCCAAGAGTTGAAGAATAGACACCCATTGTTACGCAACGGTTCAAGTGATTCACTGCACGCAGTGTAACTTAGCTAGTTGAAAAACTATATCTGTGGCAACGAATCTCAAGGTGCTTGTCGCCAAGACGAACTGATTGACGGTAAACCGCCAGTCGTAAAGTAACTGGAATAACATGGACTTAAGGAATGCCGGAATCGGACTTGGCTTCGTACACACTTAAATCATCGAATTCGTTCAAGGAGCATCCAATAGTTGAAGTGTTTCTTATTTGTAGTTACGACTGGTGAGTGGTAAATATATTGATTCATCTAATCTAGAACCCATTAATTATTAGTCACGTAACCAATATACGTTACAATATATAAAGAATACAGTTCTTCGTGCATAGCTCATTAGGAGAAACAAGATGGCCGATCCTCAGAATTGAAACTAATCTTTTGAAGTAGAGCTTCATGCTTCATGCAATGGCGGACATGAGCAAACAGGCCCACGAGAGATAAGATAAAGAGCCCGGATTTATGTAGCTAAACTTCGAATGAAATTACTATTGTCAGGGGCCGAGCTGAAGGGTAATCGCTAGTACGTCCTGTCCTAGTAACATTCACCGCTTTCCGCTTCCTCAAACATCGCTTCGTTTTCAGCGGTATACATCAATTCCGTCACGATGATAACTAGAAATAAGAATACCTTCATAAAAACTCAACATTTAACACAAGTAAAAGTCTTCGATTGGGCTGGCGGTAACGTAGTTGGTTGAAACACTATGCTACAAGCCGGAAAGTCGGGGGTTCGATCCCGATGAGGCAAGTGATTTTTTCAATTGACTTAATCCTTCCAGACAAACTATTGCCCTGGGGTCGACTCAGCCTCTAACAGAAATGAGTACCAGAAATCTTCTTGGGGGTAAAGGGCGGCCGGCGCGAAAGGCTGACAACTTCACCGTCATCTGTGAGCTGATTGTCTAGAGAAAATGTGGAAGCCTCGACGTCTCACAGCCATATGGGCCTCCACAGCCTGTTACAGGGATAGATTAACTTAAATTCTTTTCTGCTACGTTAACTTTTATCTCGCGGAGGAGAAATTACTGGTGATGCAATTTCTAACGACAGGGAAAAGAGGGGAAGGCATTGCCACATGCGCTTATTGCGGAAACCCTGTTCTTCCCCCCCCCCGCAAGATTAAAACATATTTCGCAAATTTCGCGCATTTAATGTTGAGTAGTATATTCCGACATTAAGACCAACAATCTCTTCTAAAGGTCGGATGGTCTGCGCAGCGTTTTCCAAAGTGGGAGCCCTGACTTTCCACAAGAGGGTCATGAAACTATACCTGGATTTACAGGAGTACTCTGGGGCTACTGGAAAAGCACATAAACGTGTATGAATTCGTAAGAGGGAACCAAACTACATTACGAACCTACAATTTAATACAAAGTATGCTTGCAGGTACTGAAGTGACTTGGAAAAAATTTTAACCGAAATTAGTAAAGTGTATTTTGGGACATTTATATACGTTGGATCCGTTAAACTTTTCTATTGTAAGGAAAACCTCAGGCTAAAATGAATATAGGAATCAATGTACTATAGAAGCGATATGCTAACCTTACACTATAAATTTACATACTATAAGTATGCAAGCTGTGTACAGTATTTATATAAATGTTTTCACAGATACAAAGTGAACATAATAACATAATGACGCACATGTATCGATGTTCAGTTTCGATTGTAGACTTCTCGCTCAAGATACCGTAGGCAATTTCGCTTAGTGGGGGGGTGGAGTCCAACTGGGTCCACTCGGCACGGCGGCCACTGATTGGCCTATTGTAGCCTGCCCCGGCTGGTTATGATGGAGAATTTGGTGGAATGAAGATTGGCAAGGGAAACCGAAGTACTCGGAATAAACCCGCCCCAGCGCCACTTTGTCCACCACAAATCCCACTTGACCAGACCCCGGGATCGAACCCGGGACGCCGCGGTGGTAAGCCAGCGACTAACCGCTTGAGCTATGGCACGGCCCTTACCGTAGACAGTTACTAATGTTTTGAAGGAATATGTGGCCCCAATATTAGTCACTCCTGACCTGAAGATGGAGGCAACAGGTTACTTAGAATTTATAATCAACTTCGACACTACACGATGTCCTTGGCCAGCTAAAGGCTGGAGACGATTTTTCAAGGCGGAAAATTTGTCTACAGTAAACCAATACTATTTACTGAAAGCCTCAGACCATTTAAGATGCAAGAATATATATATATATATATTTTTAATTAAGTACATACTTTCAGTTTTTGATCTTAACATTCCGTACATTTCTTTTTCAATTTTGATTCCTTTTTTTGAGCATTCCGGGCGATTGGTGCCTGGCTTTCACCTCGCAGTCAGTGCCCACAAGTGCGATAAAAAACGGTACAATTTTTACGGACTCGAAAACTTCAAGACTCATAATGACGTCATTGTTTCTGTTGAGGGAATCGGTCGATTTCGATTACAAAAAAAATGATAAAAAATAAAACATCGTAGGTATGTTACGTGTGAATGCTTTCACTTATCATTTCCATTGGGGATGTTTATAAAAAAGAAGTGTCCATTTTGAAAGTACGCCGATTAAGCGAATATTATTCAAATCATTTTACAACCTACTTTAAAATCTACAAACAATTTAAATTAACTTCTGTGTCTATTTAACAACGCCGTCTTAACTGCGTAATTTATATAACACCGAAAAGCAAGCTGATTCCGAATTATGGATGTTGTACGGGGAATATCGCGGTATATAAGGCTGTACATAGGAGATGCTATCTTAGACAAAAGTAGTTTAAATTCCAATTTAACAAATATCGGCATTGGCATGTTTTAAATTAAATTAGAAGCGACGTGATAGTAATATATTTTAATGTTGGACTATTTTTAAGACATTTTAAATAAAATTAGAAGCGACGTGATAGTAATATATTGTAATGTTGGACTATTTTTAAGACATTTTTGACAACGTATATAATTTGCCACTCATAATAAAAAAACTTTTGAGAGTGAATACTCTCGGGATCGAACCTGACAAAAAATTAGTTGAATTTAAATTAAACTATTTTTATACAAAGTAGTAAATCAGGTTTTAATAAAAATAAAATGGTTATTATGTTTGTGAAAACTGTGTAATTAATTTATTTCGATTATTGAAATACTCTTTGAGAAGAATTAAACTTGACAACACTGCAGTTTTCCATAAGTTGGCCGCCTTGCACAGTTCAGTGGTACCACATGAGCGGACCAACGCCACAGCTGAAACTTTAGTTGCGTTGTACAGCTGCTGGTTAATGGTAGCTACATTTCTCTTTGCTACATTGTGTTTTTCTTGCATCACAATACCAGTAGCAAGTTATTGTTGGAAAGGAAGAATAGTGACTATAAGTACATATGAGAAGAGACTCGCTCACCAGAAAACTCGCTGTAGTTTCTTCTTCGCTATTCTGTAACCGTTTCCAACGTTGCTGAACTTCTACATCGATTAGCATGCAAATCGAGTAAAAATTTCAATACATTATTATTAATTTCTCCGTAACGGCATAGTAAAAGAAAATGTAATTTTGCAACATTATTCCTAAAGGCTGAAATTATAAGTATAAACAATTTTAAACCCAGGATAACCATTTTCACACGTCTTTCATCTACTGTAATGTACGACGTGACGAACTTCTATAAGAACACGTAAATTTAGTAAAAATTTAAAAGTGCAGTAACTTTTGAACGGGTTAGTGAATTGGGTCCAAATTTTTTTAGGGATTTCAGAATAAAAGAATGAACAATCTATACAAATTTTTATCCATTTTGTATAATTTTTAAATATCTCCCCTGTATCCTTAAAATATTATCCTAAATCTTGTCTAAAGACTGAAGGAAACCACTAAAACCTCATTAGGATATCCGGTCTCCTTGCCTGGGATCGAACATGGGACCTCCTAAAACGAAAAATGACTGAAAACCGCTCATCAGCTACTTTCTTTTTGCGCGCAGTCAGAACGTAATGTTGCATAATGCGCACATTAGCTCTGCCATGTCTGTCCGTAACAACCCGAGAACCGCTGAATTATTTTCATTAAATTTAGTATTAATTACTCTATTGAAGTTTGTCGATACACAGCAATTTTGGTTAAAATCGGACAACAGTAACGGACATTTTTACATGAAGACTAACACACTTTTCTGCGCGTATGTGAAGGATGATTCGCTAAATATTTATCGGATCGAAAAATGTTTCGAACAAAATTTGCAGAGAAAAATGATACATCTTATGTCAAACATAACTTTTCCATTATATTTTCATTCTTTTTGTGAAAATGAAACTAAATTTAAGGCATATCCCAGAACATGCGCTCTACTCCTACATTTTTAAATGTGTTTAAATTAGTACACACTACGATATATTTATTATTTTTATTTCTCTTAGGTACTGAGACAGAAATCCTACCGCGGAGGATGGAAGGCCTGCTTCTTGAACTGGAGTGTCCTGTTTGCACGGAATACATGCTGCCACCTATTACATTATGTCATAATGGCCATAGTATCTGCAACAGCTGCAAATCAGAAATGCACAGCTGCCCCACATGCATGGGAGAGTTTACAGATATAAGAAACATAAGTCTTGAGAACATATGCAGGATAGTGAAATTCCCTTGTAAATACAAGCAAAACGGATGTCTTGAAATTCTCCCTTTGGACATAATCCTCAGACATGAATCAGAATGTTCTCACGCCGTTTACACATGCCCGTTTCTCATTGCGTCACTAGAATGTTCATGGAGAGGTTTTGTCAGTGACATGGAAGATCATATTAAGAGCAAACATAATGAGTTTAGTGACGCCAGACATGTTCTGGGAATACATAAGGCAAGGTTGCCAAAATTCGGAACATCATCTGCTTGGTGTCAAGCTCTCTTCACAATGAACGAGGTGTTCTTTCGAATATCAAAAGTTATCGGCGACTTTCTTTACTGCTGTGTGTTGTACGTGGGGGCCAAGGACAAAGCTCCTGCGTACACTTACAAGTTAACAATTAACAACAATGAAGGGAGGGGTAGTGTGTGCGCATGTCATCAAACAGTCGGATATCAAAGCGATATAGAAGAGATAATTAGAAAAGGGAATTGTGCAGTATTTCACTGTGAATTTGCGAACACCTGCATTAATGAAGACGGTGAATTGGTATTAGAAGAGGAAATATTCAGTGCTGCTGCATCCTGAACACTTAACACATGATGTAGCTGCAATGAATACAAACTTTGACCATTCATAGGCTGTTCTCGGACTCCACAGTGAGCTCGACAGTTGTTAACAGGTCCAGAATTGTGATCATCAGTTATTATTAACCACGGATCATTATCATAATGACAAACACGTAAAGTTTATCAATTAATTCGTAGATTATTACGTTATTGATTTTGTTCTGCTACAAGAAAAAGACATCTCATGAACTTTCTCAATAGTTTGGGTAATATCCTAATCTGTTTGTGTTTATGTTTATTTCGGAGACATTTTGAACAAAGATTTTAAATTGAAAGTTTTGATAACTTATACGAGAAAACATTATTTGGAGTTTATTTCCACCCTATAAAGATGAGTGGTTATTATATATACCATCATCTTGAACATTAATGAATCATACATTCTGCCCCCTCAGTGCACCTGTGTGTTTCATATGATTAAAAAAATCCTTGAACAGCACTGACCAGCTGGTTTCTAGCCTACTTTCCCTATTTTTAAAGCATAAGAGTAGGCTTATGAGATCACCACGCTGTCTGTGTTTCTGCGTATCCCACCATATTTTGAATGCTTGAATAATCTTTATGAAACAGCGTACTTGATAAATCTCTCCCATCAGTCTCTGTGTCTGTATTTGTATACCTCTATCGTTGCTAGGCAACGGCAAAATAAAAACGTTACCCCGGTAACGAATACACAAACAACAATAGAATTGTTGGACGCGTCGTTTTATGTGCGGTGCATCGTATCAAAGGAAAGTAAGCGATTAGTTCTTCTCAGAACTTCTTGTTATAATGGAGACACAGTTTGTTTTCTGAGAGGTTTGAACGGAACCTCTGTATATTTAGATGAATTTCTGGTTACATGGAGGTACAGATAATATAATTTATTTTCTTAGATGTTACTCCGTGTAGTCCGGTGGAAGATCACTTCACTTATGTCTTTATATAACCTTAGTAAATAATAAATCATATGATAATTTCATTTACACCATTTTCTTTTGTAAAACAACAGAGAACTAAATAAAAACGTATATGAAAGGAGATGCTGGCAAGAAATTTAATTTTAACATTTTCCGTTAAGTACAGGATGTGTCCCCCCCCCTCACTTGGGCGTCGGGCCACGCATTGAAGACATGTTTGTTGATGCAGAGATTTACTTCAAACCAGATGGAGCACCTCCCCATTACCGTCGTGAAGTAAGGGCCTATCTCGATACAACTTTGCCGGACAGATGGACTGGGCGAGGAGGTAGCTTTGAACAACCTGCGCGTTCACCGAACCTCACACCCATGCACTTCTTTATATGGGGATACCTCAAAGACAAGGTTTATGCCGCAAAACCAGCAACAGTCCATGAGTTGAAAGAGGAAATTGAAAGACAATGGCTTCAAATTCCAAACGAAATGCTTCGTACAGTTTGTGATTCCATTGTTCCGCGTTATCAGCTCCGTCTGAATAATGACGGTCATCAGTTAGAACATTTGGGAACACGCATAGTGCAGTAGACTTCTTTTCTTCAATTTAAATCATTACCCTTATATCTGTTTTAAAGAATATTGCATTTTGTGTCATTAAAAGGGTGAGTACATTTTTTGGGGACACCTGTATAATGAATGAAAATTCCGATTGTTAAAAAGATTTGGCATTTTACTGGTATATGAACCTCTTATTTGACAGATGTTTTGGATGTATTTTCTTTCCCATACTTATGAACTTTTAAAGGAGTTTTATAAATAATAATTACTCATCAATGTTGTACTACTTAGACTGGCAGTTATGAAGTTAAACCAATGTAAACTCAATGCAGGTATGAACGCTCAGATAACACTACAGACTTCTTGATTTACATTTTACTTTAGAATGTTTCAGGAGTCTCATAAGAGATTTAATTTGACAAGCAAATACTGATTACCAAGTCATGGCTATTTTAACTTTCAAGATCGAAATATTTGTCTTTATAAGGAAATAGCAGAATAGAATATATCTTTCTACACAACTTAACAAGGTTGTCATTTAGATCTATAGAACCCGTTCATTTGTACAATTCTGAACCTTTTCTGCATCACCCGGTATATATAGTCCATTGAACAGTGTGATTAAATTTATCCCTGTATTAGGATTGTACAAATATATTTCACTATGTTCGATTTGAGGCCGCGCCATAGCTCAAGCGGTTAGTCGCTGGCTTCTCACTGCGGCGGCCCGGGTTCGATCCTGGGTCTGGTCAAGTGGGATATGTGGTGGACAAAGTGGCGCTAGGGCAGGTTTTCTCCAAGTACTTCGGTATCCTCTACCAATCTTCATTCCACCAACTGCTCCACAGTCACCCTCACCTATCATTTGGGGCTGGTACAATAGGCCAGAAGTGGCCGCAGTACAAGGGACTTAGTCCCACCCCACTAACAATAAAAAAAAAATGTTCGATTTGAGGTTCTCACAACGGCGGTTGTGAGTGGTCACGTTCACGCCCCGGCCGCTTATCGTGCTTATGAAATAAAAACGTACGAGTATTTAAGAAATTCTGATAGTTTTTTGAAGTTTAGAAAATAAGATTTAAAAAAAAAAGGTAAAGCTACCCTTGTAACAGGCCGTGGAGGCCTACAGGGTTCTGAGACGTCGAGACTCCCACATTTTCCAGACAACTGGCTCACAGATGGCAGTGAAGTTGTCAGCCTTATGTGTCGGCCGCCATTTACCCCCCCTCCCCCCAGGAAGATTCCTTGTACTCATTTTTGTTAGAGGCTGAGTCGACCCCAGGGCCATAGCGTTGATGGATGGATTTGGTGAATTGAAAAATCTAATCACCTCGTCGGGAATCAAACTCGCGACATTCCGGCTTGTACCACAGTGCCTCAACCAACTACGCTACCATGTAACCCTTAAAAAACACGAGTGGTCGCTCGTTGGAAGCCTACTTAACGTCACTGCAACGTGTTACCGCTTGAAAATTCGTGTCTATGGTAACTGGATATTGCTTGATTTTATAACGTTCATCACTTCCTTACAATACTTATTTTATATATAAGGTAAAGTTAGCGACAGCTTATTAAGAAGCAGGTAAAATTTTCGAATGAACTCCTCGCAAAAATGCAGATGACCTTACACATTTCTTATGTGATAAAACACGTAAGAAATTTTTAAAGTAACTCGGAAGTAATCCCACCTGTTATAATTGATGCATTGAATGTTTAAATTGTTGAAATTAATTTCTAGAAATTCATTCTATTTCACTCAAATTGTAATTTATCCAATAAGTATATTTTGCGTCGTGTCCGAATTGCAAGAAGCAAAGAGCTGAAAAAGCATTAAACATCTAAATCCATTACGTGTCATATACATTCGTATGTCTCGCGTCTCGCCCCGTCAGGCACTAATAGTTCGAATGGAGGCGTCTAACAGATAACATTAATCTAAATCATTCTAATGAAAGCCATTATGTGAGCACAGGCAGGGAGGCAGGCAGGATCTTCTCTCGTAGAGATATCCCGAAAATTTGCTTATAGACTTAATTTTAAGCCATTTGAGAATATTTCCACAAACGACCCCAGAATTATGGGTCTATATTCACACACAGACGGTGCAATACTTAGAAGTGAATTATAATTTTTGGTATTCATATTTGTTAGGCCCGAATGTAAGGCGGTCCCTTATTTTTCCAGTGACAAAATCGTAAAGAAAAAGTTGTTTTTTTTTTAATGAAAATCCCATTTAGGTCCGGGTGTTGTGAGCAAAATTAAGTAGGAATTATACCGTCAAGAAATTTCAAATTAAAAATTCAGTACGTTAAATACAGTTCTTGATATTTTCACAGATAACATTAGAATTAGCAATTAGAACTCTCCATAGTCGTCATTTTCATATTTAATCTTAAGAACCCCCAAACAAGGAAACTTTTAAGAGAAATAAAAAAAAAACTCCGTGGCCTGTAGTCCGCAAGCGAACTATACCAACCGAGCGACCGCCGTTAGTCGGCTAAGTTAGTGCCAACTTTTGAGGATAGAGGGTGTCACGTGGTCAGCTCAACGGATCCCCACGGCTGTTTTTCAATACGAACCAACTCACATTATTTCCGGGCTAATAAAATAATCGATTCATTTTTCAATTTCGATTTCTTAAAAAAAAAAAAGAGAGGAGAGCAGATGCCTGACTCCCCACCAATAACTAGGGCAGAAATATGAAACTCAGCTCACCGCTTGCGCGTTGCTCCTCCGCCATCATCTCAGAGTGACGCCGTTCTGTCCATCGGAACTCTTCAGGCGTCGTTGTCGTCCTTGCAAACACAAACACTCAGATCGAATCCCGGTATATTATTTTTAATAAGCGAGGTTAAAATGTTAACACAAAGAATGCAGACAGAACAAAAACAAATATAGTTTTGGGTCAAATGACGCGAAATCGCCTTGACGCAAAATTTCCTAAAATTTTCAAATCTCCGTTCTTTCATCCTCGGAATTCTTACCTCTCACCGTTACAGTTAAAACTGGCAAGCAAAGCAGATTTGTCTTGTTCTGTTTCGTGCGGCTTGTGTATCTGTGTTTCTGTGGGATCGTGTCTCTCTTCAGTGTGATACGTAGAGCAACTGTGATAAGCATTTAGAGTCTTCAAGAAAGGTGTCATGAGCAAGGCGATTAACGTTAATCAGGAAAAAAAGTGTTTAAGAAGTTACTGGTGTGTTATTAAGTACCCGGAAACACATTTTAATGGCAAAATACGAGCCGGGGTAGCATAGTCGGTGTAGAGGCTGGCTACGGGCTGGACGACCGAGGGGTCCGAGTTCGAATCCTGGTACGGTGAAGAATTTTCTCTTCTCAAAATCGTCCATACCGGCTCTGGGGTCCACTCAACCTCCTATCCAATTGGTACCTGGGGTAAAGCGGTCGGGGTGTGAAGCTGACCACTCACCTCCAGCTAGTGCTGAGGTCAAGAAAATATGGGTCTATACGTCCACTCCCCCATACGCCTTCATAGCGCAGTGCTTAATTCGTTGAGCACAGGGACAGTTTTTACTTTGTTTTACCTTTATGAGCAAAATATAAGAGAGGGGAAAGCATTCAGTATACCTCACAAAACAACGGCCACGAAGGAGAGTTACAACTGTTGCAGATGATTTTGACGAGTATATAAAACGAAAAATGATAAGTAAATTTCACTCTACAGAAGGTAAACGTCCTATCTTAAAATCGCTGTTGGCGGTACTCAAGAAAAGGCTTAACTTCAATGGAGGAAAATTAACTTTTTGCAAAATAACTGGAGATTTAGGTTTCAGGTGAAGGAAATCTGAAAGTAATACAAAGTTTCTCGTCTGAAAGGATGATTGATATACTCGTAAGTCGCCACATAAATGAGGGGCCCCCAATCATCTACACGGACGTAATGTACACGATGAGGAATTCAGTGAAACAGAAGCTATGTAAAATGTTCACCTGTCACTGGAGGTAATTCAATCTGTACTTATGTTGTTGTGTTTAGTAGTATAGCGACTAAGAGACACTGCTGTTACTCTCCTTGTCTGCCATGTCAGAGCTCATGTTCTACTGCTTTGATTCTATGATATCGTGTACCTCCACACACAGGTTACCTAGAAATATCTAGACTACTTCTAAATACGCATTATTCATTAAAGAAACGCAAGTATAAAAAGCAGGACAAAGTTAAAAAGGTTTATTGTGTCGCTTTGGCCTTTGTGTACGTCCCAAAACATATGTGTTACTGAAGCTACCATTAACCTCAAATCTACATTGCAAGATTTGTATGAGAAAGCTATTGACGCGAATTATTAATAATCTTCCTTTGCTTGCTTATAAATTCGTTATTGAGAATTATAATTAGTATTTAACACTTCACATTACATAACACGCTTCACTGAACACACGAGTCTTACACACAAATTTTACATGTGAAAACTTTTCAATGAAGTTGTGTTCGTCTTTAGACTGTTAACATGTCTCCTGATCTGGCCACACGTGGGAATGGGAGCGCTAGCTGCTACGTGTCGAGATGAGAACTAGCGCTTCTCCACGAGAAACATGCATTTAGTTAACAGTA